TTTTGGCCACCGCTTCACCCTATTGACTCATGGGGCCTGCATTTCACTAAAGCCCCCTGGGGTCTTTTCCACTTGAACTGCTGTCTACCTCTCCCTTCCTGTGCAGGGGCAACTTCCTTCAAATTTTCAAAGTATTTACTTGCAGGATCTGTAATTTCATCCTTGTGAGTGCTCCTTTCCAGGCTGCCGCCCTCTAGGAGACATTCTTTGTGAACTGTGACCCACATCTTCGTTGCTCTGCAGCCGACGGGGAGAGGCCTCTCAGAATTTAGCTTGGCTCACCCTTCTGCAGGATTGACATGCAGTCACTTGGCCTTGAAGGCTTTACTTCTATCTGATTCTGTTAGTCAGTGCTGCTCTCCTGGGGTGGGGTGGAGGTGGGGGAGGCCTTCTGCATCAACAATGCCCCTGGACTTCTTTTCTGTGCAGTGTATTTCTAGAGAAGTTTCACACAACTTTTCTTTAATTTTTGGATTGATTTGTAGGGCAGGGATTAGTAGCTCCTAACAAAGGTAAAAGATTAAAAAAAAATGTTAAGACCTGTATCAAGCTGGGTCTTCATTGGAACATCTGTCAGGAATCCAGGATCTGTCTCCTCTGTCTGTGATAAGACATTGAAGAATGATGTTAGTGGAGGCTAACCCCACCCCACCTATGCATTTGGTAGTTTGAGAATAAACGTTTAATGAACAAATACATTGTGAAATCTGGGTGACTAATGATGATAACCTAGGTATCCGAGAGAGAAATTGGCATAACTGGTTCACTTAAGCAGAGCAATGAGGTGTGATATCACTAATTTATTCTGATTAAAAAAAAAACACACACAACAGTTCTTTAACCTAAGTAGACATCTATGAAGGCTTTCCCCCTCCCCACCAGTCTTTTATTTGGTATTTTGTTAACCAGGCCATTCTTGCTTCATGCTGATAAGAGCTAGGTTCATTCTCATTAATGCTGGGCTGCCAATGATTTAGCCACTTAAAAACGAGTATATTACTTGGCTTGGTATATACACAGGGTTTGTTTTTATTTTTTTATTTTTTTAAACCTAGTGATCAGAATAGCCAGCTCTCCAGTGAGGGCGCATGATGTAGTAAAGATAATGTATGTGGGGAAATGGGCTGAGAGTTGGAAGCTGTGGGTGTGAATCCCAGCTCCAACCTTTACCAGCTAGTGTGTGACTGAGGATGTCAGTAAATACCAACATTGAATTTGGCAAATACTCATTGGGTACTTGGTATACCTGATAACTTCTCCGAGTCTGTTTCCTTCTCTGTAGAATGAGGGAGTTGGGAGAATGGATATAGATAGAGCTGGATTTGGATGTAGGAAAGCTTGATAGGAAGTCCCACTTTTGACACTTCATAAGTTGTATGTCCTCAGATAAATCATTTTACCTATTATATCATTGCCCCAGGTAATTCACTAGAACTAAGCTGCAAAGAAGATACCAATCTGCATTGGTAGAGGGGATTCTTCATGTGGACCTCCCTACCCTAATGCAAATCACAGGCTTGGTTATTGTTGTTGTTGTTGTAATTGTTAATAACAGCAACAATAAAAATACTTGAACCACGTTTTTTGCTTTTATTGATTTCTTCTGTTTTTGTGACAATTATTTCTGGTTATACTATGCACCATCCCCCCCAACAAATGAGCTCTCCGTGATGACATACACAAACAAAGCTAACTAACTCAGTGACCACATCTAACTGTATTGTGTATTCATCGTCTATCAGTGCTCAACAAAAATAGGAGTATAATTTTAAAAAATTAAACGTTTTGTTGTTGCCTTTTGTTTTTTATACCATTGTACCAATATTCTATCTAATTTTCACCCAATATACCCACTATTCTTTTTTGATCCCTTTCCCCCCAAATATAGCATCCTCTTATTACAAACACAGTGACCCATCTCATAGACTTTTGTCTTTTTTTTTTTTTGAGAGAGCACTTTATAAACAAAGTAAGTTGTTATGGAGTTAAAGAATTATGGAGTGATGACTGTTAGAACATTAGAAGAGTTTAAAAGATTGCCCGTATTAGTAATACATTCTCACATTACCTGTCTTGGTCCTCATGCATTTGGATCTTATCCAGGTTGTTTGTGGTCTCGGGATAAATCAGGGAGCAGAAATAGAAGCCTGGTTGAGATGGGGGATGAGTCAAGAATAGGAGGTGCTGGAGTGAGAATATGATTAGAGATCACTAGTATAGGAATGGCCCATGGAAGTATTTAGGTCATGAAGACTAGCCAGACAGGTAAAGTAGTAAGGCAAAGAAGTCCATAATATTTATTGTTTTTGTTGTTGTTTAGTTGTGTCAGTCGTGTCTGACTCTTTGTGACCCTGTTTAGGGTTTTCTTGGCAAAGATACTGGAGTGGTTTTCCATGTCCTTTTCCAGTTCATTTTCCAGATGAGAAACTGAGGCAAACAGGGGTTAAGTGACTTAGCCAGTAAGTGTCTGAGGATGAATTGGAACTCAGGAAGACAAATCTTCCTGACTCTATCCATTGGCATGCCCCAAATTAAGGACAGAGGTGGGATCTCGGATTTCATTGCTATAAGGTGCTCTCAGTTGAGTAAAATCCCTCTGCCAATGTAGGTTGGCACCTTTATGAAAACTTATCGTCTTAGAGAGATATCCCCAGGGTCACCCAGCCAGCGTGTGTCAAAGTCAGCACTTGTACCCACCTTCCCAGCTTTGAGAGCAACTCTTAATTCACTGTGCCATACTGCCTCAAATTAAGGTTGTTAAAGATTTTTAGAAAGTTTGCAAAGAATGCTGAGAAAGGTGTATTCTAATAGTAAGAGCTAATATTTATGTAATCCTTACTATGTGCCAGGCACTATGTTAAGCCTATTATCTCATTTGATTCTCACAACCCTGGGAGGTAGGTACTATTATTATCCTTATTTACATATGAAGAAACTGAGGCAAATAGGTTCAGTTTCTTGCTCAGATACTCACAGCCTTGTTTGAAACCAAGATTTGATCTAAAGTCTTCCTGACTCCAGACTAGGCACTCTATCCACTGTGCCACCTAACTGCCCCAAATCTGGCTGTTCTGGATGTTCTTGTCAAACATTCTAGCCTAGTAGGGAGTATTGTGGAAAATGGGGAAGCTTTTTTGATGAAGGAAAAAAGGCTGCTTTAAGGACCAGTCCCTCTATTTTGCACAACAGCAACCACACTGCTGCTGCAAAGAAACTCCTAGCCCCCCCCAAATATAACAACCAATCATGAACTCCCCAGAGGAGGCATCTGCTTCTGTGTCCAGTTCTGGGTCACTCGGACAAAATGTTAGAATCTCATCTCACAGATGAAAAAATTGGGTGGAGGCGGGGTTCTCTGACTTGGATAATCAATTTTTAAAGCAGTATGACATAGAGGAAAGAGAGCCTTAATTTCCGCATCCCATAAAAAAGAGGGAATCAGACAAGGTAAAACTTAAGGTCCCATCTCCAAGTCCAGTGGTCCTATTTTCAAAGAGACCTTTGATTTTCATTAATTTGGAAATTCCTTCCAGTGATGTTAATTGCAATCCATCCATGCCTACCCCTTCTGTGTAGCTGCTTCCCTGAGCTAAATATTGAAGGAATCCAATGACCTCCCTACTCAAATATACTGCTATATTACTAGCTTTGTGATCCTGGGCAAGTCGCCTAAGCCTGTTTGCCTCTGTTTCTTCATTTGTAAAATGAGTTGGAGAAGGAAACGGCAAGCCACTCCAATATCTTTGCGAAGAAACCCTAATTGGGGTCATGAAGAGTTGTACATGATTGAAACAACTGAACAACAATGCATTTATATAATATTACATGTTTTATGCTCCTCTGTTATCTACCTACCAGACTGTAGGCCTCCTGGGGATGTAAACAGTGGTAACTTTCTGCCGGCCACTACAGTACTCTACATTGCTTTTTCATGTGTCAGTGGGAGAGGAAAGGTGAAGGGGTTTGGAGGACATTTGAGTTTACTGGTGTGGGGAACTCCTAGCATGGAAAGTCCTTTCATCAGTGCAAATTAGCATATAATGTATAATTTAATGTCTTAAAGAGTTGCCTTGTACATTAAGGGATTAAGTGACGTGTTCTGTGGTCACAAAACTTGTATGTGTATGGGATAAGTCTTGAAATCTGGCTTTTCAATCCAAAGCCAGTTCTCTATGTCCCACTCGTTTACAATACTAGGTGTGTAATCATGTTTGTCCTTGCTGAATTTCAGTGAGGAGTTTTCTGCAGATGGCTCCCAACTGGATTATTAAGTCCTTTTAGGCCAGAGACTGTCATTGTCTTCAGTAGTGGCAAAAGAGGTGGCACAGTAGGTAGAGCATGAGGTCTGAAGTCTGGAAGACTTGAATTCAAATCTCCTCAGATATCTACTAACTGTGTGACCCTGGCCAAGTTGTTTTACCTCTGTTTGCCTCAGTTTCTTCATCTGTAAAATGGGGATCACAATAGCACTCATCTCCCAAGGTTGTTAAGAGGATTGAATGAGATAATAATTGTAAAGTGCCTAGTGTAGTATCTGGCACACAGTAGGAACTTTATACATGTTTGCTATTGTTGTTGTTATTATTATTCTATATCTCAAACAATGCCTGGGGCTTCCCAAACATATAGTTAGCACTTTGCTTGTTGACTAATGGAGATGTCCGGCAGACAGCAAACTATGGTAATTCAGATGTTATTGGCTAATCTGTTGGGCTGGAATTTTGGGTCTGTGAAGAGAAAGCTGAGTCATTCTAAATGCAGGGGCCTGTTATGTTTCTGACTTTGGACAAATGCCAGGTGAACGCAGTGATGCCAGGGGAGAAGGAGAGCATGCACATTAAATCCAATTTATACCAAGCCCTGAAGATGACACATCTGAGCCACTGGCTTATTCTGGTTTCTGGTGTCCTGTAAGAGAGTAGAACTAACATTAAAGATGTTATGGGAAGGTCACTACTCTGCTAGGCTGTTAGTTAACACCGTGTTTTTTTCCCTTGAAGATGATATTGCCGTTCTCACCAAGTTCAAGTTCACAAATCCAGAAGGTATTGTACTAACCAGAAAAAAAAAGATCCCTTGTTCACCACCCTGTTAATTGTTTGTATTGTGCCTTGCTTTGTCCTGTCACCACCACAGCCTTCTTCCTTTTCCCAGACATGGAAAACCCATTGCAGTCATTCTTCTGAAACCCAAATGGCAGAAAATCCATCCATTCATTTACCAACCTTTTATTTAGTGCCTATTATGTGTATAACAATACACCAGGCACTCCCAGAATCTTGGGAAGAGAGGCAGGAAAGTTATCTTGCATTTAAAAGATTTAAAATGTTACGGGAAGATGAAAACAATCAAATGATCTAAGTGTTAATGACTAATAATAATTTTTGATGAATCAGTTTTCTTTTAGTTTAATTATTTTAAGTGAATTTAATTAGTTTCAGTCAATGAGCACTCAACTTTATAATTTTGAGGCAGGTAGCACAGTGGATAGAGCACTGGGCCTGGAGTCATCAAGATCTGAAGTCAAATCTATCCTTATAAACCCACTAGCTGTGTGACTCTATGCGGGTCACTTAATTTCTGCTTGCTTCGGTTTTGTCAACAGTAAAATGGGGATAATAATATCATAGGGTTGCTCTGAGGATCAAATGAGATAATATTTGTAAAAAGCGCTCAGCACAGTGCCTGGCACATAGTAGGTGCTATATAAATGTTTATATTCCCTTTCCTTATTCTTCAAGTTTTCATGGAAGACGACATCAGATGTCTTCTTTCCTGTGTAGAAGTGAGGAATCCTGTTATGAATAGGGAAGAGACTGGGGACAGCTATTAACCCCATCCGTTCTTAAGAGGATGCAGAATGATCTAGTAGAAAGAATTCTAGATTTAGAGGTAGAGAATCTGAGTTGGAATTCTGGCTCTGACACTACCTGTATGATCTTGGATGAGTCATTTTAATCCTTCTGGGCCTCAGTTTCCTCATCTGTAAAATTGAAGGGGTTGATCTAGATGACCTGTAAGGTCACTTTCAACTCATTGAGCCTATTACAGAGTAGGGGAATTGAAACAGTCTTCTATAAAATCACTCAGTTCTTGCCTTTAAAAACTTCCATACTAAGTTTTCTCTTTTTGGTGCCTTTTCGAGACACTGTCTTATGAAAAACTTTACTTAAAGAGATGAGTAGCAGTTGAACATTTCTTAGAAACTGTTGAATAAGCAGAATCAGTTGAATAAGTAGAATCACACAAAATTAGAGATGGCAAGAACTTTTAACCCATCGTTCTCACTTTTAAGTTGAGGAAACTGGGATCTGGCAATATATGCAAAGGAAAAAGCACTGGATTTAAATTGACTGAATTTGGGTTCAATTCCTGCCTTGTGACCTTGGGCAAGTCACTTAACTCATTTATTTCTCAGTTTCTACACCTCTAAAGTGAGAGGCCCTCTAAAGCCTCCTCCATTTCTAAACCTGTGGGCCTCTAAGTGATTTGTTCAGAGTCATACAGCAAGCTGTTGGGTAGTCTAGAACCAGGCCCCCATCCTTTTTCATTCATCATGGTCAATCAGGGAACTTCACGTAAGCCCCTAAACTTACATTATATTTCAGATTATCCCCACCCGCCTTTTTCTTTTTCGGTCAGATTTACTATGCTCTTTGAATGTACTCAGAATTAAACTAAACCTCTTTCTCCCAATATATTTTCCATAATGACTAAGGATTATCTTTTTATTCTTTCCCCTTTGACCTCCCTGACTTTTAAAGTCATTCAGCCAATAAGCTACTTATTAAACACTTATTTTGTGCCAAGCACTGTGCTAAGCTGTGGGGATCCAAAAAAAAAAAAAAATGGCAAAACCAAAAAAAAAAAAATCTGTCCCTTCTCTCAAGGAGTTAACAGTTTAATGAGGGAAAAACTTACAGACAATAAAGTACAAACAAGCTGAAGATAGAATAAATTGGATTTAACCCAAAGAAGGAAGGCACCAGAATTAAGGGGGATTGATTAGTTAATTAATTGATTGATCTCACCATCTACAGAAACTCTTTCCTGTAGATGACAGAATTTCAGCTTTCAGACTTGAAGGGATCCAGGGAAGCCAGGAGGCAGAGATAAAGAGGGAGAGACTTCTAGGCATGGGGGAAAGCCAGGGAAAATGCCCAGAGAGGAGAGATGAAATGAGAATAAGAGCAAGGAAGCTGGTGTCACTGGCTCGCTGAGTGTGTGTGGTGTGGGGGCAGGAGTGTCCCTCCACTGCTTAGTGGGGGGGGGGACAGGCTGGCGCCCTTTTCACTCCAGTGTAGATTTCCACCCATACATCCATAGTTCAGTGACTGGTAGACGGAGCTAAGCCCAGTGGAGGCCCAGCCTTGTGGCAGGCGATGGGAAAGGAAGACGGCTGATGAAGCAAAAGAAAAATGAGTTTTGTGTCATACCCTGCACGTTCCTTTGTTGTTGGTGCCACATGCTTTGTGTTAGGGATGTGCTATACATACAGTAGCTTTGTTTCCTACTTCTCAAATGTTGCTACTTTAGATGATGACAGGAAGAGCTATCAGCCAAGCAGCACCAGTGGTGGGGAGGGGTGGTGTGGCTCGTTGGAAAGAGCACTGAATTTGGAGCAAGAGGACCTGGGTTCGAATCTCAGCTCTGCCCACTTATTACCAGTATGTCCTTGGGCAAGTCATTGCAACTCCCAAGGCTGTGGTTACCCAGTGTGTGAAATGAGGGAAAATAATGAGGACTATTTCTTAGGACCCTTCTTTCTTTAAATCCAAGACACTCTAAAGTCTTTGAGCCAGGAAAGTACCAAAAAAAAAAAATGTCGCTTGTGATATTGCAGGAGATTGAATAAAGAAGTCTATGAAAGCGTACAAAGTGTTTAGTATAGGGTAGATTGTGCCAGCTTTATTACATGCCGTATTTACAGGCATAGAGCCTGAAAGAGGTAGACTGACTTGTCTATTGTAACCCAGTTAATGAACAAGCTAGGATTCGAACCCATACCTTCTGATTCCAAGTCTTTATCTGTATTTCTCCATTATTACGTTGCCTCTCACATCTTCCCCCATGCCCCACTCTCCCCCACCACAGCCCTAAGGATATTATCCTTATGTATTTTTATTCACTTATTTATTATTATTCCTAAGGATATTTCATATGTCCTTTTGAGAAGTTTTGAAGTAAGAAGATTGGTCTCTATGAAGTGCTCGGCCTCTGATAAAATTTTTTCTTAATATTGGCGAGTCCCGTAAATTGCCCACTTCAGCCTGAGGTACTCTTCTCACGTCTATCACAAAGATATCAGTAAAACAGGAACACAGCTTGAAGTTGTGTAAGACTAAGTTCCATTAATGTTCTGGCTGTAATCTGCCAAATGTAATTTCCAGCCAACAAGTCGAGGTGCTAGTGAGTCTCAGATGACAGACAATAGGAGCTGTCCGTGGGCATCCCTTTGGCGGCAACCCCATCTGATGTTTTGTAGCTGGGAATATTCTCACTCCAGGAATGTGATTTCTGTTGGGTGTAGTGATCAGTGTTCTTCCAAAGGGGAGGTGATAGCCAGCTTAAAGAATCACAGGAGGTGAATAATTTGCAGCCTTTTGTTGTGATTACAAAAAAACATTTTGTAAATGTCCTTTGTTTTTGCTGTTAGTAGTGGTTTGAAGTTCTTTTTACCCACCCAGCTCCATGTTGAGTGTGGGCATTTAATTCTGTCATTGTTTTTTCCTTCCTTCCATGCCTCAGAGCTTGACTGTCAGAATTCTTGCCAGTCCTGAAAGCTGTGAGCTCCTTCCCAGCAGTTGGACAATTTTTCATGGAATCTCGTTCCTCTCTCCTCTAGGAGAAGAATCCAATGGACCTCTGTACGAAACGAATTCCACTGCAGGATCTGAACTCCCAGGCAGCTCCGAGGTATGTTTTTAATCACTCCTCCTAAACTTCAGAACAGAAGATGGATACAGGGTAGGATGTTTTTGAGATAAAGGAAATTTACTATTTGAAGGTGGTGAGACCTTTTGATTCCAACCATTTGCTTAGTTTAAACTATACTTGTTTTCTCCCAAGCACATTCATCTTGTGTGATAAATAAAGCAGATAGTGTGCTCCATGCAGATTCTAATATTTCATCTTTCCAGGGGCTGTTGGAATGCAGACACAAATTAGGAAAAGCATTATGTACTTTTTGAATTTGATTCAAGGCTTCCCAGGGAGCAAACCCAGTCACACTGTGACTTGACATAGAAGAGGCCATCCCTGGAATGAAGCTTCCCTGGCGGCTTTATATTTATATTATTGGCCTTGATAAGAGAAGGACTGGTTTGGTGTTTTTTGTTACAGAATTTTTTAACCAAGCACCATAAGTCTACTTCAGGAAAACAAAGTAATTTGAATGTGCATGTTCTCTTTGCAGTCTGTTACAAATATAGCTTCTCAAGAGAACAAAGGAGATTAGTGATTTTTTTTAGCAAAGTATGTGGTGTATTTCCTTCTTTATTTACATAAATATTTACATATTTATAGGATCAACATAATGACCAGAGGGACCAGTACTGGTTCATTGGAGTCTATGCTTCTTGGCCTGTATTGGGCAATGCAGTTCATAAACTAGAAAGAGAGATGTAGATTTGACAGATAGATATATAGATAGATAGATAGATAGATAGATAGATCTCATGACCTAATTGCTTTGTTAATTGGTTTTTAAAAGTATGTATATATTTTTTTTCAAGGAAAAGTCTTGGGATTCTGGTAACTAACCTTTAGAATAAGGTTCTTAACTTTTTTATGTTGTGGACTATTTTGACAGGAACCTATGGATCCCTTCTTAATGTTTTGAACTGGATAAAATACATAGGATTGCAAAGGAAATCATTTATACCAAAATACAGTTATCAATTTTTTTTTTAAACTTCATCGGCCCCAGGTTAAGAACCAGTGCTTTAAAGTGCAAATGTCCAATGAAGAAGCCACAAGAGGAAATGAATTTGTTTCATTGTTAGTTCATTTAGACCTAAAGAATTTTCATTATCAAAAAGTCACTTGGCCCTGGGAACTAGAATTACAATAAAAGGTAGTTTGTGGTCTTTCCATTCCAGGAACACTTCACTCAGGTTAGGCAGTTTCGGATGTCCATGTCCTAGATATAGACCACTGGCCAGAGACCCTCTTGCGTTCTCTGTTAGCAATGGGATTTCTGAAAGGTTAGTGGACAAAACATTACTGAATCTATGTAATAGGCAGAATGAAGTAGAAAGTTGAAAGAGTTTTCTCAATCATAACAATGAAGTTATACTTTGAAAAAAATAATGAGATTTGAGGGATGGACAGGAGCAGCATGGCGATGGTGGGAGTGATGAAGGAAGGCTTGATTCAGTCAGGTCTACAGATCAAACTCAGTTGATAATTTCTTGCCTCACTTCTACAACTTTCTTGAATAGATAAGACTATCATATTGATAGAATACGATAGTTAATTTTTTTTCATTTTGTTAAATACATGTCTTCATGTACTTAATGATATTTAAAACTAAAATTTTTGGCCGTAGGCAGAGGGAAACGTGTGCATATTTTCTCAAAGAAACTCTTGATGGATGGATTCCTACTGTCTGTTGACATCCTCTCTTGGTTTTCAGAGAGTAGAGATAGATTAGCGTCCTTCAATGTGAGACACAGTTTCTTTTTTAAATGAATCAAGTGGTATTTGAAGCTTCTTTTGTATGGCTTTCCAACCTCTTCAGTGTTCCCTAAGCCCCAAAGCTAGGTGTCCAATTGTACGTGTTAGGTGTAGACACATGTTCCCTTGCATTGCCCGCTGGTGGGGGTAAATGCAGCCCTACTAGGTTAGGACTAGTTCACTGGACTGTTGAGCTAAATTCATTACTGCTTTGGAATGTTGTCTAATACCCTCTGCTCAGCCATGAAGTCCTCATTTAAAACTGGAGATGCAGGATGTATGCTGTGTTCCACATTCAGCCGAGAAGAAATTCCACGAAATTGGCAAGATTCTTTTTTTTTTCTTAAAGAAATAAGAAAGAACTGTCCAGATCACTTGCTTCCAAACCACTTCATTGGATAAGTTCCATTGGTTTTTACTTAAACTAAGTCTAATTGCTGTTTCAGTGGTAGAGGCAAATCCAGTGCCTGTTAAAGAATAACCTCATAGATAGAAATCCCAACATTAGCATGCATTTCTGCTTAGATCAACAAACTCAGGTATAAGCTTGTAAACGATTCAATTGTCCAGGATGCCATGATGCCACGAAAGTGTGAATGAAGGATCTGTGAATTCTCTCTTCTCACACTTCAAAGCTTTAAAATACTCATGAGGATACATCTCCAATGTTCTCTGTATGATATAGGATACTGTTCTGTACTTGGCAGCCATTTCTTAATGGTGATAGTTTTATAATGGGATGCCAGAGTAAGCTTTACAATGGAGCCCCAGGAATATCTGGGATATAGTAAAGGAGCTCGCTGGTAATATGGTTATAATCAACTTTGGGATGCCTGTAATGTATAGGACATAAAAGGTCCAGCTTGAAAGAATGTCATCCCTTAGACTAGCATCCATTTGCCACTTTGCTTAAATGGCAATTGTTATTGAAAGTGGTCGTCGTCCCCCCCCCCCCGCCCCGCCCCAGACAGTTTAGGTGTAGCTTTGAGGAATTCTCAGAAATTGCCCAAATATTAAAGATTTGTCAAATCATTTTTGGAAGCTTAGTGAGAAAAATTCTTGTAAGTGTTTTTCCTAATCAGAGTAGCCTTTCTGCCTATCACTCATCAAATCCAAACTCAATTGAGTTTCACTTTTCGTTTTCTGACTACTCAAACTAACTACCCCGCCTCTATCCCGATTTTGTATTTCCTTGGAGAATCCCGTGCTGTTTCGTACAAGGGATTGTGGGAAGGGAGGAATTACAGACTTGATTGGAGTAATGCAGAGTCTTCCTCTGACTAATGAAGGACAAGCATGAGTCTTGAGAGTTATTACCAGTGATGCATGAATTGTAAAATGCATAGGAAAGATCATAGAATGAGGAAGAGCTGCAGAAAAGTCCCCCCTTTCACCTAAGATTACAAGAAGCAGCTCTCAGGGAGATGAAGATAAAGTGCTCTATACCTCCTCCATCCGCCTAGTAAGTAGCATGAAAAAATGAGATGACTTAATTTACTTTTACAAACTTGTTTGTAGCGTTCCATCGGAAAACAGAAGTCAGTTTTCTTTTTCAAAGTAGGAAGTTGTATAGTGCCTGTGGGCATATGGCTTGTCTTTGGAATATTCTGTATCCTCCATTTGAAATAATTTCAGCCAAACTGTCCACCTTTCTGAGGATGACCTTGCAAACAGCCTCTGCATTTATTCATAAGACTCATAGAGGAAAGCAGCTCGATAGACTTGCTCCTGCCCTTTAAACACAGATGTGCTAAATTGGCTTGTGTATTTGCATGATCAGGACTCTTACTGGCATAGGATGGCGTGACTAGGACATGCCATAGCCTTGTTTGATGTCCAATACATTTGGGTTCATTAATGGAAATGCATTATGTAAGGTCAGTAGGGGTTGTAGAAATTGTAGAAAAATTGTAAAAATCACATTCAGTGAAAAGTAAGCCTTCAAATAGCTTGATTATATTCTGTACCAGACTACTGATGCACCTACAACCCTTATCTCTCATCCCTGATTGTGTACTCCCTCGGGGACCCTAAATAACCTTGCCAGTTTTGACATGATTATCGTGGGGGAAGGGGCTGTGGCTGAGGGATGGAGAATGAATATTGCTACATTTTCTTAATTATCTTGCAGATTACCTCCTCTCTCCCTTTTCAGTGTTGGTAATTTCTCTTTGTGCCATAATTTGCTAGATTCCTGCTGGAAACTCAGCTTATCTTACACCTCAGTGCATTTGTTTTCTTCCTGAGGTGTGTTCTGACAACTTTGCATAGTAATTGGCCTGCCCATAGTACCACTCACGTGTCAGTTTTAAAACCAGCTTTGCCCTGGGATCAGCTTAATCATATAAAGAGGCTTTTCAGAGGTAAAAGCAAGTTTGCAAGTCTTGGCACACATTTTCCTACCCTGACTGCTCCTTGTTTTTTTTTTTTTTTTTTTTTTTTTAGCACCGTGTTATGTACGCCCCCTAATAGAAACCCAAAGCTACTTGCATGAGCTTTGGGTGCCCCATATGATGTGCATGCTGTAACTAGTCATACATATTTAGATCACAACTTCTGTCATTCACATACACTGGAGGAGGTCTTAAGTATTTTTCACTCTCTAAATTGGCATTGAACGAGTATGTATATGTGTGTGTGTGTGTATGTATGTATGTATGTATATACATATATACACATGTAAATATGTACATATATTCTTCGTGATGTTAAACAATCAGAAAATGGATTTTGAGGAATCAAAACCTCTTTCAAGGTATTCAGCCTAATCATTTCACATAGAATTGTTGGAAACAAAGATGATGAAGCAGTTAATAATTTTTTTTCCTAAAGGTTCTAGCTCAGAGTATTCTAGAAAAAAACAAAAAGCTCTATCCCTACCCCTGAGCTTCTTTGTTTCCTTCTATGTATCCTATGATTTTTTGTTGTTAAAATAAAGCTTCCCACTGCCTTTGCATCATCACTAACAGCATATATCTCTCCCATGATGCTACTGGCAGGGTCTAAGCAGCACTGAGACTACCTTGCTCATCTCTGATCATCAAGGGGTAAGCAGCTACCAGCAGTCACACCTCCATGCATGAATATGAATGTGGTGTCTTCCCCCAGTGGATGGTGACAGTCTCTTGTCCACTTCACAAATATTTTCCAGTTCCTCCTATGTGATATTCAGGTATATATGAAATCATCTGAAAGAGTTCCTTGGTTTAAAGGAATGAATCTCATAGGGTTCATTGAGTCTTTGCCTTACCCAACTGTGGTCCATCTGATGGTCCAGCAAATGGGTGATGTCTTTGAGGATATGGGCGGGAGGGGGGAGCATTGATTTAGAAATCCATTTGGAATATCAATGGAGAGAACTGGAAAGTTTTTGGTTTGACACTAATCAGCTGGTGACAGACTCCGTTTGGAAGGGAAATGGGGATGTTGGTGTGCTTTGAATTTTGACTCTTATTAACATAGATGATGATTTAATTCTTACTAATATACTGATCTTCTGGACTTGACGTGGTAAAAGTATCAATTTAACTGTATTTTAAGGATTTGTGATTCGATTGGTGGAAGTAACCTTTCCACTGAAGTGATCTGTCACAACCCTTCAATGATTTGTTCTTTGAGAGTTAAACCTTGTTGATATTTTGAATGTTGGGTTGAAGAATGTATTGGCAGTACTTTTCATATTTCATGCATGGCATATTTTCTATTATTATAACCTGTAAGAAAAACAATGTTATTTTGGTTGCACAGTGACGGACATTTATTGTGTTTGTTTGTTTGGTTTTTTAAGATGGGATTTGGTGCTTCTCTGTAACTGATTATGACCGTGTGCTAAAAGATTTAGTGGTGCCACTATTTTATTGACTTAAGCTCTTTATTAGAGGCTTCCTAAAAGTAGGGAATAAGCTTTAAGATATTTTAAAATATTCTTTGAAATGTATTTTAGAATGTTTAAAGAATTTATGATGAATTTGTGGTTCCACTCTACTTAAATCTTGTTGGAAGTCTTGTGCTATTTTTAAAAAAATAGGTAATTAAGTTTACTTGGTAATTTATAAATACTGTAACTCATGAACTTATTTCATTCGCATATATATAACAATACAAACTGGGATGAAACAGAGGTCAGGATACAATTGAAAAACAGGATACAGTGATTTGTGTGTGTGTGTGTGTGTATGTGTGTAAATCACATATGTTCATTTTCCACTGATGTCATGCTTGGTATGCAAAGCAGTATGGGGTAGGAATTAGAGAACTGTCTCTGAGTTTAAGCTGTAGGACACAAAAGTTGTTTGATCATGGGTAAGTCATTTACCCTTTCAGCGCCTCGGGTAATTCTCTAAGAGAAATCTGTGAGCTGTGGATCTGCACAGGTGGAGGCCTTTCTTATCTATCCCTAATGAAATCATAAATCTGGAACAGAACGAATAAAAACCTTCTTTTCACAGATTCATTTAATAGTAAAGCTTCTGTGCACATAAATGCAATTTTATAAGATCCAAGAGCCAAACACATGGTTAGAGGTACCATAACTAGGTGTAATGGTCTTAGAATGAAGAAACAAACACTTTGATCAAATTAGAGGCAGCATTCTCATGGAGGGATGGAGCAGGGAATGTCTTTTAGTTTACTCTTCTCTCATTTCATAACATTCCTTGGTTGCTATTAAAAGGAAATCTGTTGGTCAAACTTGAGTCATCGGTCATGGGCATAGAGAAGTTGACTCACTGTTGACCTAGTCTATGGTCTTTTTTTTTTCTTTCTCTTTCTTGAACTTTTCCTTTTCCTTTCCCCAGATCCCTCCCCTGTTGATTCCTAGGATATCTTAATATGTAAACCTCTCAGGGTCCCTCACAATGCCAGGGATGTCATTCAATGATCCCCTGGCTTTATGATGGAAGCTTAACCTCAAGGCAGTTTCATTGGATCTGACATCAAGTCAAAATAGTTCTGTATCTCCAAATGATTGGAAAAGCAGGATTGTAGGTAACAAGGCAAAGCTCTTCTGACTAGATGCTGGCATTTTCCCTCAAATAGTAGTTTGTGGGATAGGCCTAAGAGATTACAGAATTACCAAAGTTCAGAAACTGGAAGGGACCTCCTGGATCATCTCCTCCCCACCCTAACTGGACTCAGTGTCTCTTCTACAATCTACTACCCAAGTGGTCATCTAGTTTGTGTTTGAAGGGGACCTCAGTGAGGAAGACTTCCAGTAAGGGGGACCCCACCAAGCTTCCTGCACCAATGAATATTTACATAGGACTTTAAGGATTTCAAAACTTTCTTTCTAAGGCCAGTGCTGTGTCTCTTATACCACATTATGTCTTGAGGTTTTTTAGTTTTGAATGCAGGTTTTCTTTGTTTTATGATATGTTTTGAGTTTTGTTACCTCAAAGTCTGTTTGACAATGGAACATGTCTTATTAAATATCAGTTGATAATGAGTTTGTATTGTAGAAGTTGATAGGAATTATTTGGGGAACCTTTTAGTGGATTTTAGTGGAAAGCTTTGTTCTTAATGCTTTCAGATATACAAAGAGCTTTTATAAATTATTTCTTCTGTCAAGCCTCAGCTAGCCATAATAGCTGAAAAATAACATACATCCAGTGTTTTAGGCTTGCCAAGCACTTTACATACAGGAAGAACTGAGTTTAAATCCAGTTTCAGACACTTAACTGTTTGACTCTGGGCAAGTCACTTAACCTCTGTTTACCTTAATCCACCAGAGAAAGAAATGGCAAACCATTCCAGTATCTTTGCCAAAAAACAAAAAAACTCATGGACAGTTAGGCACATTATGGTCCATGGGGTCATGAAGAGTCAGACAGGACTGAACAATAACATCTCTCACTTTCTGTGTGATCAGTAGAGGTCTCTTCACTATTGGTTAAAGGCTGGTCCTGTGATTGAGTTGGCATCAGGAAATCTCATAGGAAGAAACCCCTTATACCAATTCAGGCCTGCATCTTCTGTCGCTTGGAGTCCCAGACAGTTACGTGAGCACAGAAAAGTTAATTGCCCAAGGTCACAGCGACAGTATGTGTCAGAAGCAGGATGTGAAGCCAGGTGTTCTTGACTCTGCGGCTGGTTCTCTATCCATTGTACCACACTCACCCTCCCAGTGTCTCAGACAACTACCCCCAGGCAGTTGTAGGGGCCTCGTTCATCTCCCACACAACGATCACTGATTTGATGAGTCTTCTTTTGCACGACACTAATAGAAATTTTCCCAATGTCATTTTTAGACTTGATATTTTCCAATATACTGGTTAAATAGAGCTAAGAGATGGCTGACAAGTTTAAACATGATGGAATACCTTTTTATCCTGTTTGATGGCCACATTAACAATTAAAACCATATAGCACTGAATTATTAACACTGAACAGATGCCACTAGAATATTTTTTTTCCTATTGGCTTTGAAAGTAATACACAGAGCCACCATCAAATGTTTCTTAGTATTGACTGTCAACTACACAGGAAAAAGGAAATGGGGGGAGGGGAGAGGTATAATATAGGCAGTCTCAACAGCCAGTTTCCTTTGTCTGCACTGAGGCCAAGATGAGAAATGGGCTTAATTTATAAGAGATTTAAGTGGCCAGATATCCATAATCTTTTCAGCGTGGGCGTTGTGAGGTAGTGGAGTATATCACCAAGAGAAGTTGTGAAGTTTACTGGTACAGGGATAATTTACAACAGGGAATCTCTCTCTAGTATGGGTTCCATGCAGAGGGATGGATACACTCAGATAACTCACCAAGCTTGACTCTTGCCTTGAATAACATTTTCATTCCCAGCAGAGATAGGCAAATTTTATTGCCACCCCATAAAACAACTTTTTGGAGAGATCCTGTGTGGCATGTGTTTAGACTGTTGGATTTGCCAACAGGAAGGACTGGGTTCGATTCCATGTCAGTCACTCACTAGCTATACGTGACATCCTGGGAAAATTATTTAACTTTCTGATTCTCAATTTTCTCCTCAGTAAAATGAAAGGGTTGGGCCAGATGGTCTCTAAGGATCCTATCAATTCTAAATCTTATCATCCCATGAAAGCAAAAAAGGTACCTTTTTTCTCCCTTCTTCAACAGGATTTCTTTCCATTGTTTTGGACTTTTATTAAAAATTCTTTATTTGATTTAATTAAAAAATAATAAGATTATATCCGTTTTAAAAGATTTTGCTCTTTGCTCTATTTTATATATTGAAAGCATAAGAAAATAATTGCAACTCATAATAACCTGTTTAACCTTAGTCCTCTAGTCTAGGCAACTCTCTAAGGCCATATTCAACATAAAAGCCAATCATGGCCCAAAATATATATTTTTTTTTTGAGAGGCAATTGGTGTCACACAGCTAGTTAAGTGTCAAGCGTATCTGGTCTGAGATTGGATTTGAACTCAGGTCCTCCTGACTTCAGGGCCAGTGCTCTATCCACTGCACCACCTAGCTGCCCCCCAAAATATTCTTACTTCCAAAAATGAGGCAAAGGTGCTGTGATTTGAATAATGGAAAGATGCTGTCAGGAGCAAATGTCCACTCTAATGTCTGGGACAAACAACATCTAAAAAGGCAGCAGACCAGGCTGAATGGGGCCATTCAGTGTAGAAAAGGTGGCTATCTGCCATGGAAGAAGGAGTTTCCTCATTCAGGATTTCCCTTTACCAATGAATTCCCAGGTCAGGTCTCTCTCTGTTTTTTTTTTTTTTTTTAAACTCTCAGGTGCAAGAATTATCAGGAAAAGGCAGTTTATACAGCTGTGAGAGTGTGAGAATCAACTTGGTAAATTCTTGATAGGAGGAGATTTTATTGAATCACAACCTGCACTGAATTCCAGTAAATGAAATAAGAGGAATGAACCACTATGGATGATGTAGCCTTTTGTCTGCTTGTTTCTTAGACTTCCAGCAGCGGATAGAGTGCAGGGTCTGGAGTCAGAAAGACTCATCTTCCTGAATTCAAATCTGGCCTCAAACACTTAGTAGCCGTCACTTAGCCCTGTTTGCCTCAGTTTCTCATCTGTAAAATGAGCTGGAGGAGGAAATGGCAAACCACTCCAGTATCTTTGCCAAGAAAACCCTAAATGGGGTCCCCAAGAGCCAGACGTGACTGAACAACAACAACATAATTCTTAGATTTCTGCTATGTGCCGGGCTTCATTAGAAGCTCCATTTGACACTTTGCTGTGTCAGAGGATGCTTAGCACTGTTTCTCACATCCGGGGATGTATGATCAGTCAGGGAAGGCATATTTGGGGCACTGAATTGCCCAGTTTAGCATTCTGTTGCCTTAAAGATATTCTTTGTCCTGGACATTAGAATAAACATTAGTATTGCCCAGGTCTTGATTGCATCTTTCCAGAATTCAAAATGTAGCACCTTTGCCTCATTTTTGGAAGTAAGGAGAACATTTTGGGCCATGACAGACTTTCACGTTGAATACATCATATATCACTTGCAGAGGAGGAAAGGAGGATAATCTTTATATTGGCATATGGGCATACTCAAGTGGAAGTGAAAAACAGAATGAATGATTGCATCTGATCATTTATTTATTCAAATAAATTTCAAACTTCTCTGCTTTGCTTTCAAGGCCTTCTGCAACCTGGCCACCACTCAATCTTTCTGGTCTTATTTCATTTACCTTTTTGAAGTTACTGTTACCCACGCACACTTTGCCATCCTGCCTTTGTTGACAGTATCTATGCCTACAATAGCTTCGGATCTTATCCCTTATCTTTTGAGTTCCTACTAATATTTTAAAGTCCAGGACAACTGTCAACTTCATCCTTCATGAAACTTTCCCTAACTCAGGATCCCAAAGTTCTGCTTAGATCTGCCTCCCAGAAATTTTCACTCTAGAATCTAGGTGATAAAATGGCATGCATACAGTTATTATTTTATCATTGCTAATCAAAACATGATGGTATCAAGGATAAGATGATATGGGCTATAAATAAATGGAACAGATCAGAAATGATGGGAATTGAAAGGAAAGAGACATGACTCTAGAATATTCACAGATGACTTCAGGAGGTGAGGCTGAGGCCTAAATAAATGGGGGCTGCTCGTTGGAGGGCTCCCGTTATCATTGCTCAGCACGTGACTTTACTCACTTACTTACTTACTGTGTCTATGGACATAGTACCAGAGCCCCAGTACAGGTTGAGGTGAAAATATTTGAGCATCTTATTTCCTGTACTCACAGATTTCTTTTTCTTAAAACTGTCTTGGGAAGAAAAAGGACAAGCCTATGAAGGTATGGATGATTAAATCTCCCAGCTACCTCAAGCAAGTAGTCTAAATTCATTTCATAGCTACCCCTAACTTTGCTGGAGAGGTTGGGGGGGAGTACATCTATCAAAGATGGTGCCGACTTACTGGGGACTGGTTATTGCTTTGATGTCATTCAATTTTTGGTAAGCGAGCCTCTTCTCAACCAACATATTCAGGAGAATCTGCTGCAAAATGCCTGTTTTAGACATGCATTTAACACATTTCATAGCTCAAGATTCTTCTTCCTGTTCTCCTGGCAAAGGAGAGATGACTAGAATTTCAGCAAGCAAACTCTTTAGGAGGTACTTGTGCATTAACACTTTCAGTTCCAACCTCTCCTGCTAATCAGTTTGATACTATTGCCCACAAGTAAGATCTGCTCATTCTCTCCTCCATTTTCAGTGAACCAGGCAGCATTTATTAAGTACCAGGCACTGGACTAATTGCTGTGGACACAAGGGAAGGCAGAAACTCCTTTTAAGCAGTTCACATCCTGATAGGGGAGACAATATATAAATAACTGGGTGCATACGAGATATATATATATATAGATATATATAGATATAAATATATATATATATAGATATATATAGATATAAATATTTATATATATTTATATATATATTTATCTATCTATCTATCTATCTATCTATCTATCTATATATATATAAAGAGAGAGAGAGAGAGAGAGAGAGAGAGTAAGTAGGTGGAAAGTAAGCAGGACAGAACCGATAAACTTCAATTCCTTTAGGGTGCTAGAACACCTGTAGGCCTTTGCAACCTGAATGTTTCTGCCTTTGTATTGGAGTGGTACAGCAAAAGTTCCAATGAGATTTTGTAATTCTGAAACTAGGAAGGGCCATTTTTGGTACAGAGGCTGTACTCAAGAGAGTCCATAGAAATTTTGTCCTGGAATATACTGTTTGGAACATGCTTAATGAGAACCCTTTAAGATACTATTTTACCTTCTCAGGATATAGCATCTGAAATATTATGTAACAAATTCAATTCAGCCAACACTGGCACAAGAAGACGTGAGATAGAAACAAGGGTAATCTGGGGTACAGAGTTCTTGAGAAGGTGGGAAGGAAAGCAGAGTCAAAGACATAAGAGGAATGGAGGGAAAGGGCCTTGGGGAGAAAAGATAATTATCTCATTCTGGAGCTGAAGGGAAGGAGGAGGATCGAGGAAAAATCATTTCAATTGGTGGACATTGAGGAGTTGAAGGGCAGCTAGGTGGCACAGTGGGTAGAATGCTGGGCTTAGAATCAGGAAGACCCATCTTCCTGAGTGCAAATCTGGCCTCAGACACTTACCAGCTGTGTGACCCTAAGGAATTCACTTAACAATACCTCGTTTTCTCATTTGTAAAATGGACTGGAGAGGGAAGTGGCAAACCACTCCAGCATTCAGTATCTAGTACCAAGAAAATCTCAAATGAGGTCACAGAGAGTCAGACACAACTGAAACATCTCAACAATAATGATGGGTTTAAGAACTAATGAGTGAGGAAGAGGAGTTAATGAGTGTGGATTATCTTTTCCAAGAGTTTTGTACTAAGAAAGAGGAGATAGGTTTGAGTATGTGTGGGTGGGGGTAGAGGTTGGGGAGAGTTAAGGGATTCATGGTTAGAACTGTCCAAAAGAATTGAATGCTTTGAGAGCAGAGATGTCAAACATAAGATGTATAAACTGTTGAACCAGTTTATAATATAATTGGGAAATATTTGACAAGATGAATAAAAATACAGTAGAACATAGATAATTTTAATATGTGGGTTTCTAAGTCAATATTGTATGGTTTAGTGGGTTTTGGCTCTACTTGAGTTTGATACCATTGCTTTGAGAGGTAGTGGGTTCTTCCAAACAGTGTGCCCTCAAGTAAAGGCTGGATGACTACTAGTTGTGTATATGGTAGAAAAGATTCTTGATCCTATTGGATGGTTCTCTAATCCCCATTTTACATTTTAGCAACTGAGGGTAACACCAGTTAATAAGCTTGCTCAAAGCTACATGTGTAGTAAAAAAGTCCAGGACTCAGACCTAGGTCTCAGATGCTGTGTTTTCACCTATGACTATAGCTTCAGTAAGATAGGAGGCACAGTCATTGGCTGAGAAACAGGAGGAGAGGGCAGAAGAGAAGGACTGGAGAAAGTAAAGGAAGTCAAAAAGGTTTAGAATAGCTGCTTTGAGGAATGTAACAAGGAGTCCATGACATAATGAAAAGACTTCTATGTGGTAGTGACAGGTTATCTGAAGAGAGATAACAGTAATTTGTACTGAACCCAACGATGAGGGTTTCATGACTTGAGAATAAGCACAGAAACTTGAGCAGTAGAGCAGAGAAGGGTAAGAGTTAGTCAAGCTTGGAGAATGACAGACAGGTCAGAATGGGCAGAAGGTGAAAGATGTGAAAGATTCAAGGACAGAGGCTAAGCATACCCTTCAAGTGACTGATGATTGGGTCAAAGGCCAGGTAGAGAGGTGCATGGAGTCAAAACGGGGGGTAGCTTGGTAGAAGAGGGAGTGATCAAGGAACAAGATCTCATGATGAAGGCTGAGTGGATTGAGTAGTAGGGACATGAGGGAAGACAGGAACTGTGAGAGAGAAAGTTAAAAATCAGTCTTGGGAACAATCTTGATTGTGTCGTGTAAGGTATGCTTGTTAAATTAAGTGGCTGAAATCCAGTTAAAGTAAAAAGAATTTTAAAATCTCAAAGCTATGATGGCAGGGTTATATCCATGTACATACATACGTGTGTGTGTGTGTGTGTGTGTGTGTGTGTGTGTGTGTGTGTAAAATCAGCATAGATATTTAAATTTCTAGCCAAGGGACCATGGTGAGGAGGGCTAGGGTATCTTGATAATTGCCATTGAAGAGTACCAGTATTATGGGTTGCTTACCCCATGTCTAGAATAATATATCAAAATTATAACTTTACAGTTATCTCACTTTTCCTTGTAGCACAGTGTTTTTTGACTCTTCTCTTTGAGAGTAGGGTCTGTATAGGCTCTACACCTCTGTACCTCAGGCATTGCTGATTAATAAATGTTTGTTGACAAATGGAAAATATTTGAGTCCTTCTCATGTTCTTTTTCTTAGAATCTTCACTTAATGTTTTTTCAAACCATTTTTTTTTCCAATAGTTTGCCCCTTTCCCAGGCACTCAGTTAGTGGCTCCACCCTCCTATGAAGTCTCCCAGTCTATACGACCCTTCAGATAACTCCAGGATTCTGCACAAAAGTATTCCTACTCAATGCAAACTGACTTGGCTTTGCACCAGTTAGTACCCTCACAGTAGCTGCATGAGATACTGCCATGGTTAAAATCCATTTTTTTCCTTAACTGCTTGGTAGTGAATTTGTGAAAGTATTTCGGGATAAAATAAGTAACTCACCAGTGTCAGCAAGGAGGCCGAGGAAAGCCAAAAAGATCCGAAGAGGAGTGCTTTTGGTATATCTTGATTCTTGTGGTGGGTGGGCAGCATCTGCTAATTCTCTGTCGGTTGTTCCACAGACAGCAAAGAGATTTAACCTCTTCCTGCGGCGGCGTCTCATGGTAATCTGGTGTTGTTTTTGCACTGCTCGCGGTTTGGATGGCTGCAGTGAAAACTTGCTTTCCTGGGTGGCAGCTCTGTTAGCTCAGCACTTCCCCTCCCTAGGTCAACACTGTTAGATTTGAGTGATTCCCATCACTCATTTCCTAGGTCATAGCCTACTAAAGTCTTAGAGGAGTCATCCCAGATGTTTGCACAAGGGCAGATATAATTCTGTTTATCCAAAATCAGAGGCCACATTTGTGGCTAGTTTGTGACTGGGCCACTTTGTCAAAAAGTATCAAAAAGTACTTTCTGAGATATAGCCATCATGGGCCAGGTATCACACGGAATAAATATCCCTACTGTCAGACTTCATTCGTACCTTGCTATAATGCAGTATGTCTCCCTTAGATGGCCTTAGCAATCATTTGTGACCAGGCATAAGACAAGACCCTTCTCCCATGTGTAGGAGAACCAATTCCCTGCCTTTCTCCCCTCTACCCCACACCCCCAGCATATTTTTATTTGTACCAGAAAAGTCCACTTAAGTATAGTCAGTACCATTTCTGCCTGGCAACCAAGTTCAGTTGGAGACACGTCTGCCTGTGTCCTCAATCACAAAAACATAGTATAGTTATCCAAAGACCATCAGTTAAATAGAAGATGATATTTTGGGCATATCAGGACAACTGTAGTCACCATGTAGGCATATTTCCAGTTTGGGGAAGTCTAAATGTCCTAACTTGGCTGGACATGATGTAAGTTACATAAATAAGACATTTAGTTCAGATGCTTATGAAATGAGCATGATGGTTTAGTGGGAAAAAATCACTGGTTTTCGAGTCAGAGGAACTGGGTTATAATCCCAGCCCCGTCACTTATTACCTGTGTGATGCTGGCTAAGTTTTTTTTCACCTATCTGGGCCTCAGTAAAATTATAAACTTGGACTAGTTGACCCCTAAGCATCTCTTCATTCTCTAGCTATGGTACAAGGAGGACAATTCCACCCATTTCATCTGCCAGGTACCTGGCTACACAATTTGTCCAAATGGTTTGGCATGATTGGACCACAGATTCGGCTTTCCTTTTATAACACAGCAGGATACATCAGATCAAGCCCAGCAGCCTTGTTGCCAGCTGTGAAAACCACTTACCAGAGGAGGGAAACCCATAACCACTCCCTGCCTGGCACTGCTACTTTGCAGTGCTCTTAATGCTTTCAAAAGGAAGGAAGTGATGAGTTCATGCCACCAGTGAAACTTAATCCTGTGGGTTCTCTTATCACCTAGGAGAACTGAGCACTTTGGGCATCAGCCCGGGATAGGTTTTTGCTCACTTGAGCCATCTGTTTGGGAAGTGAGCCCTGCTTAGATAGGAGTGCATGGAGGCGTCCTGGCACAGTTAGTGCTGTCGGTAGGCTGCTTGCTTTTCAGATATTAATGGTGCCTTCATTTAGTGGTCTGCTTTAAAAACTACCAGAACAACAACTTTAAAAAACTACTTAAATGAAGAAATTCCAGAGCCTTAAAAAAAAAAAAAGTAGTTAGACCAAATGCTATTCTTAACCTCCCCCCCCCTTTTTTTTTATCATGAAGCTCTTATCTGGCTTCAGTTAATCCCAACTAGCTTAGAGCCTGGCTTGATTTTATCTGATATACAATGGACTCACTTAATCTTTAGGATATAAAATATAAGCACTTTGAAGCCTGGGACTCTAATGTTTTTGTCTTTGTAATCCTGGTGCGTTGAACACAATAGGTGCTTTATAAATGTCTTTGGGATATAAAATATAAGCACTTTGAAACCTGGGACTCTTGTGTTTTTGTCTTTGTAATCCTGGTGCCTCGAACACAATAGGTGCTTTATAAATGCTTTTGTAACTGAATATTGTAGAGTGAAGCTAACCAGCTCCTTGCTATTTCTGCATTTCATTCTACATGTATACGGTTCACCTTTCCATATACATGCAGCATTTGGGTTGTGTGTGCATGTCACTCACATGTCTAGCTTCCCTTCCCCTTGGATTCTCCATTGTGTGTGACTGTGTGTGTGTGTGAGTGAGAGACAGAGACAGAGAGAGAGAAAGAGACAGAGAGAGGGGAAGAAGGAAAGAAGAAAAGAGAGATGGGGGACAGGGAGGGAGAGAAGGAAAGGGGGGGAGGGAGAAAGAGTTAGAGAGTTAGAGAAGGAAATGGGGGAGGGAGAGAGAGAGGAAGAGAGAGAGAGGAAGAAAGAGATAGAGAGGGCGGGAAAGAAAGAAAGAGGAGGGAAGAGAGAGAGAGAGAGAAAATGAATAATCACTTCTGCTGGTCTTGGGCCACCACTTTGAGTGTGGACCAGGAACCACCAACTAACCCTTAGACATTGCCTTCCTTTCCATTTCTCATGTGCTAGAGACAACCTCGGTTAATGGTGCACCCTTTCTGTCTTCCCCAGTTTGACAAGCGCCAGCAAAGCAAGGATTCTATTTTCTTCTGTGATGGGACACGGCGGATTGATTATGTGCTTTCCTATGTTGATGATCCAAAGCAGGACGGTGACAAAAAGGCGGTAAGTAATAGAAGAGTAATGAATCTGGAATGGATGAAAAAAAAAAAAAGCAGAGCAAACCGTGGCTTGTTCTAGGCAAGTTTGTATGGGACAAGTGTTCTTTACTGGATTCTTTTCTTCCTTTCCCTCCTCTCCCTCTTCCTCCTCCTACTCCTCATCTTCTCTCAAATCTTATTTTGGTTGATACGGTCCTTCCTTTCCCAGTGACCCATCCCTTGGAACCAAGTCAAGTCAATAAGCATTAATTAATTTCCTATTATGTGCCAGGCATTGTGCTGAGTGCTGGCGACACAAAGAAAGGGTAAAACAGTCCCACCTTCAAAGAACTCACAATCTAATGATGGACACAACATGTCAATAACTATGCACAAACAAGATATATACAGGGTAAAATTGTAACAGAGATTTAAAAAGCAAACGAAAAGAAGCCGTTCACTAGAATCAGGCATGTCTGAGAGTATATGAAATATTACACTCCTGTGGTCCTCCACCTCAGCAAAGAAAGGTGGGAGATTAATTTCTCAACTCTTCTCTGGGGTCAGTTTTGGCCATTAAAATTACATAGAATTGAAAAGCATTTTTTCAGCTACTCACTAGGCTTGAAGTCTTGTGGGGCAGCCTGGCTATGGATGTCTAAGGTTAAGATTTTTTTGGCTTGTTCAGAAAGATTTCAAACTGCCAATTGGTAGGTTAGCTTGTTCTATCTTTGATCTCATCTATTTGGGAGTTCCCCCTAGAATATAGATCGCAACCTATTCATTCCTATTTATTCTGTATAACTTTCATCTGTGTCTTCCTGGAAGTTTGCCACGGGGTAGGAGACATAGGTAGATGGGGAAAAGTCTTCTTAAAAAAAAAAGCATTGGCTATTATCAGGTACAGTTCGTCTTGCATATTGCCTATGGTTAGGAAAAGGGAATTTGCTCTATCCTAATGGAATGTTCACCTTTTTGATGATTCTTTAATGTTGACATCAGTGAAAGTGCTGCTTTCCCTGATGCTCTGTTAAAGGATTGGAGGGGAGCTTAAGGTCTCCACATCTGTGCTACTGGGGTACAAACTCTGGTAGGACTGTAACATGGGACAACTTTAGGTTTCACTCAGTGATGGCTGATTGCAGCCTCATTTTCAAGTTACTGATCACCAGGCAGCAGGGTGATGAAGTCAGCCAGAACAACTTCTGATGATAGAAATATTATAATCCATGTTGGTGGAGGCAATAGCCTCAAATATTGAAGTATCCATTCTGATCATGGTCACTTAAAGATTGGTGTATATCGGGGTACATATCCATATATCCACAGTATCTAGATTATTGTGAAATAGTGTTATTGAGCTGACCAAATTCTCAGGTTTTTTAAAAATCTTAATACAGGGCAGCTAGGTAGTTCAGTGGTTAGAGCACTGGCCCTGAAGTCAGAAGGATCTGAATTTGAATCCGCTCTCAGACAATTACTAGCTGTGTGACCCTGGGCAAGTCACTTAACCCCAGTTGCCTCCAAAAAAAATCTTAATACAATAATGAATTGGTTTTGTGGCTTTGGGAAGTCATTTCATGCCCCTGAGATTCAGTTGACTTATTTATAAAAGGAGGAGATTGCAATAGTTGATCTCTAAACATCCCTCTTGGCTCTGAACTTCTATGAATCCAGTTAAATGTTGAAAGAATTAAGAGAGGAAGGGTGCATTTCTTCATGTACATTTTGGTGATAGGTGTTACTTTAGGGAACCCAGTGTTAATGTTCCAATTATGCTCAGCTCTGTCCTTGTATCTGTGTCTTCATTCAATACACAGCTTCTCTTCTTTTAAAACAGAATGAATTTGAATCCTATACAGGTAGACCTTAGTGACTAAGCTAATGGGAATGCCATTCTTTTTGGGAGGAATGATGGGAATGGAGAAGAATAAATGCTGTCTGAGCTCCAAGGAAAGCTCAACTTTTATAATATATTTTTATCTGAAGAGTTGCTAGAGCATAATATTTGCTTTCCTTTCTGTGGGCTTAGAATTAAAATTGTCATTTTTTTTTTCTGTCTGCAATTGAAAGAGTACTGGATCTGGACATAGAAGATCTGGGTTCCAATTCCCACCTAACCACCTATTACTTCTGTGTTACTTTGGGCAACTCACCCAGCTACTCTGGGCTTCCATTTCCTTATCTTTAAAATATGCAGTTATACTAGATTACCTCTCAGTATCACTTCCAGCTCTCACTTTCATATTAAATTAATTGGACCCATTTTCTTTAGTGGGACTTTTGGAACCAGGGGTCATTTTGTCCTATATTCTCCATTCCTCACGGACAAGACATATGGTGACCTGAAGAATAACATTTGGAGTGTGTGGGCCTTGTATTATACAGTCATAGGATCAAACATTTAGACCTGGAAGGGATCTTGAAAATAATCACATTCTCCCCCTCCCCCTGCTTCATTTTATAGAGAAGGAAACTGAGATCCAGAAAGATTAATTTGCCTAAGGGCACACAGGTAGTAAGTATCTGAGGCTGGATTCAAACCCAGTTTTACCCAATGCCGGGTCTTGTATTCTGTGTCCTGTGCCGTATTGTATCCTAATGACTTGCTTTTTTTTTTCCTGTCCTGGCAATACAGTGACTTTTTATTGTTTTTGGGAGTGGGGATTTTAGGTTTTAGAGGTAGAAGGGACCTTAAGAGATCAGAGAATTTGACTCCTTTATTTTACAGATGAGGAAACTGAGGTCCAGATGAGTTAAGTGACTTTTCCCAGCTCTTCTAGGAGCTCGATTTTGAACCCAAGGCCTTTGGCTCCAAGCCCAGCATTCTTTCTATAACTTCCACATGGTCTTTCCTTTATCTCATCTACTATGAAGGCATACCGATTTACTGCTCTTGTTTTATGCATTTATGTATTACGCGTTTGCTTTTAAAACCCACGAATAAGGAGATTCCAAATGGAGCAAAAAGCTCAGTCACCTCACTTGTGAGAACTCCATAAACATTAATCGACTGGAAATACAAACTACCATTAATGGTTAACCCAGGCAAAACAGTGAGTGAAGCCTAATGTCGAGAGAAGTGTGAGTCAGTATTTCACATTCCTCTCACTCTCTGCTTTTGCAACGTAATGTTACTCTGGTGACTAAAAGCGGATATTTTTCATGATGAAAATCACCTTGGCATTGGAGCTGGAAAGACTGAGTGATTTCGTGTTGATTTAAGAATTTGGATCATAGCCAAAAGAAAAAAATAGCAGGGTAATCAGACCACAATTGTTCCTCCCTTTCCCCTCATGCCAAGGATGACCCAGGCTACCGGTGAGCCCTCACATTTAAAGCATACCCCTTGTGTTATAGTGTTACCTCCTGTTTTCTTATGTGGCCTTCCTCATTTGAACGGCATGCTTTATATTATGAATCCCTTTTCCATACAAGATGCTTTACTCTAGAAATGGGGAGAAAGTGGAGCCCTTAATATTAGTTCCCTTAGAGGCAGTGAGGTAGCACTGTGAATCACTGTGGCACTGAGCTTGGAGTCAAGAAGACCTGAATTCAAATTCTGACTCAGACACCTACTAGCTGTATGACCCTAGTTTTTGTCCGCCTCGGTTTCCTCAGCTATAAAATGGAGATAATAATAGCACCTGTCTCCTAGAGTTGTTGGGAGATTGAAGTGAAATAATATTTGTCAAGCACTTAACATAGTGCCTGGCACATAGTAGGCATTTAATAAATGCTTGTTTCCTTCCTTCCTTAGCTGCTTATGCATCCATGAAACTATGGGTCTTTTAATAGATTGTATGTTTCCATGAGTTTTTGTAACTCTAGAATCTAGAGGTCTTGCTGTTTTTACCTACTTGGGTGAATGAATGGGAGAAAAACAGTTATTTAAAGTTCCCACACTGGAAAACAGTGTGCTAAACATTGACCTCACACTCTAATAATAAATTAGACAAACAATAATAAATTCTTGGTAAAGAAAGTTCTAAAATCTCAGGAGGCAAATCTAATTACCCTTGGCCAAATCATATTTGTCACAGCATTTTTTATTAATAAGCCTATCATTTCACTAGATGAGAATGCTTTGTAGCATTTAGGGGTCTTTAGATTCCCAAAGACCAACCTATCCGTCACTCATTCTGTATTGTATTTTGCATTAATTTCCAGATTTAACTCTGAGAGTTAATATGGTCTACTGGGGGAAAAAACCCATTAGATTATTTAGGCAGTTCTGCTATAATGTAGCATATGCATTCCCAACAAACATCACGCTATGCAAATCACACAAGAAAAACCATAGAGCTTATGTGGAAAAATGGGGTTACAGGCAAAATGCTCAAAAATTTGTCAGCGACATATAAAAGAAGATGGGAATCTAATATAAAAATGACAGCACAGTTTTATACACGTTAAATTGTTAAGAAATACATAAATATTGCAACAGCGGCCTGTCTGCGGTGTTGGGCCGTTGCTTGGCCTGTGCCCCAGATTTGCCAGGAGCACGTTGGGCAGGCACAGAGGAGAGGGTGAGAGCAGGGATGGCATTAGGTCAGACCAACCCTTCTCTGCTCGTGGCTCCTACTGCACCAAACAATATGTGATATACACTTTACCTTGGCAAAGACCTGCAGTTTGATGGGAGGCGGCCTGGGAGCTGTTGTGAAGTGGTGCAGTTTTCTGAGTTCTCTAGCTGCTGTCTCATGGAGGAAACCATAGAGAAGCAAATTACGCTCTGAATGTTCCCTAATATATTAGCTGAGTTGGAACAGATTCACATTGGGACAAATTTGTGTTTTCTCAGTGCATGGTAACAGAACCACCGCCTGTATCTGAATTAACAGACCTAAGTTCTAGTCCAGTTTTTGCTGTTAACTAGTGTGATATCAAGCAGGTGACTTGATCTTTGTGGTCCTCAGTTTCCTTATCTGAGCCTCAATTTCCAATCTGTGTAATGAAGCTGTTAGACTAACTGATCACTGCATTCCCTTTGCACTCTTAAGATTTCAACTATGAATTTAACTTCCTTTCATGTGTTAAAGCGAATGATTCTGACCCTACTGATGAAGTCTTTTAATTAAGTCCAGTTCCAAGTATGTCTGTAAGGATTCTTAGTAAATGTATATTCTCCTAGCCTCGTCATCTGGATCCATCCTGGCTCGCTTTGGCCCATCCATCCCGACTAACAGGAAGATTTGACAGAAGAGAAAGGACTGTCTAAATTTGGAAGAGAATGTCAGGAAAACCTTGTTTTTCTTTTTTTCAATCAGTACAGTTTTCCTCCAGCAGTCTTGAACAGTAGGGAAGTGGGAGGAGCACGGGAAAGAAGGAAGATTGTCTTGCTGTGTTAAGAAATATAACGACACTTTTACCAGTATGAGCCTAATGATGTGCTCAGAGACACTGTGCAAGGGGAAAATAGCTTGCTGACTTGTGACTGATAGCTTACAACTGGTCAGCCTAGGTGATGGGTTGTGGTGTGTCAGATACCGAGCCTAACGCTCTCAATTTTCAGAAGAGGACATCAGTTAAGAGGTTAAGTGACTTTCCCAAGGTCACGTAACTAGGTAAATAGCATTTGTAGATTTGATTTTTTTAAATGAGGAAAAAAAGAAATGTCAAATTTAGGGCTGAAACAGTCAGGCACTCTCTGCCTTCTCTCCCTAACTGATTTCCTTTTCCTTTTTCTTTTTTTAAAATCTTCAGTTCAGTTTTGGCAGTTATCTGATCTAAGAATAGATTCAGTGAAGACATTTCTGATTGCGTTTTTGTAATGACCATTTATGTAGCTCTGAGGAGGTACTCCCATGTTTTTTATTTTTTTTCTTTTTAAGCAGCAGTGTTGGATTTTTAAATGAAGAGCCTAGTGACAGAAACTGTGTCGTAAATATTCTCACTGCTTGCAGAAAGATTAGCTTTGGTTTTGCTCTGGAGATTCTAAGTATCTCTGGTCTTTTCTTTTCTCCTCAAAGTATCTCCTGCTTTTACAGTTCTTGGATTTGACAAGAGATTGATTGTTTAGTTTCTGCATAGCATTACCTTGGAAGGATTGACTTTTAGAGGCTGTGTGGTGCAGTAGATAGGGAGCTGGCTTTAGAGTCTGAAAGACCTGAATTCAAGTCTCACCTCTGACACATACTTGCCCTACGCAAGTCCCTTAACTACTCATGGCTCCAAACACCTTTTTTTTTTTTTTTTTTGGTGAGGGCAGTTGGGGTTAAGTGACTTGCCCAGGGTCACACAGCTAGTGAGTGTTATGTGTCTGAGGACAGATTTGAACTCAGGTCCTCCTCTCTCCAGGGCCAGTGCTGTATCCACTGCGCCACCTAGCTGCCCCTCAAACAACTCTTAACACTGTAGGTTGCAAAGAAGGTGCCAATCTGCGTTGGTAGGGGAAATTTCTACTTCTGGGAGTACCCTATGTTTATGAAATTAAAAGTCTAGCCCCTGTTTCTTTTAAAAATCAGTTTAATGTGATCAAATAAATATTCTAGCATACATATAAAACTATAGATTTCAGGAGGTCCATGACCTAGATGGGCTAAAAAATAAAATATTGGTTTTCATTTGCCTTTGGTTTCCTTTGTAATTTTTTGGATTTTGTTTTATACATTGAAAAACATTCTGAGAAGGGAGTCTCCAAGATGCATCAGATTCCCAAAAGGGAGGGGTACATGACTGAAAAAAAGGTTAAGACTCCCTAATCTTATAGATGAAATAGCATTAAAATATATTTTTATACTATCATTGTCACTGTACTTATATTTTTACATATGGGGCGTGTGGCCACTTAAGTTATTCATGCCTGTACCTGGTTAAAAAAAATTCAAATTTAAAGCCAAAATGTAATATTTGTAACAATGTTATTTCTTCTAATCACTAGCTTTTCTATTCCTGTGTGTGTATACATATATACACATAATTTACATGTATATATACATACATACTCACACACATATATATACATACACACATATACAATTACAATCAACTAAATACTAGATCAGTCAACAAGCATGTATTGAGCATGTGTTTTAGGCAATGTATTGAGAAGTCAAGACAAATGGAATGATCTCTTCCCTTAAAGAGTTCATAGTCTAATAGAGCAACGTGTACACATGTAAGCATAAGTATCTTAAGAACGTTGTCCTGTAGAAGTATGTATATAATAATTTTACTTATACATACCTATTTGTGTCTTATTGTAGCCATCTCTAAGTCATGGGGTTGGGGAGGAAGGGAAAAAAAAAAAGAAATTTACATGATAATTTTGTTGTATATCTGAAAGGAATATCAAGTTGTGCGTAGTCGATTTGGTGCAGCCTTTTTTTGGTATTATGTTATGGAAATGCTTGTTTTATTCCATAAATTACAAATAAAATTTAAAAAAAGAAAAAAAAAGAATATTGTTCCTGGGGTTATAGATTTTGAGTTGGAAGTCGCCTTAAGAGACTGTTGAGTCCAACCCTCTCTTTTAACAGATGGGTAAACTGAGGACCAGAGAGGTTAAGTGCCTAACTTGGGATCCCACAGCTAGTATATGTTTGAGTCAGGATTTGAACCTGGATCTTCATTACCTTGACTCTCAAGTCCAGTGCCCTATCCACTATACCATGTTGCTTCTCTTTTATTTTAAACCCTGATATAAGGCAACAGATACATTTAACCTACCATTTTTTTTAATTGGTAGGAGAGGTTGATAAAGGGTAGTCATCTAAGTTAAACGTTAATGTTAATTTTGATTAATAAGCAAGTGAAGTTATCAACAGGAGAATTATGCTCATGGGAACAATTTATCTTTTTGTAGATAACTGATTTTTTTAAGCATTGGGAGGAGTTCAAACCATTTCTTATCATAGCATTTGAACTTATGCAATGATAAGAATATATTATGAAATTTTATAAAACTTTTCCCTCTTTGGAACACAGTACATTTAAAGTGTTTTTTTTTAAATAATATCAGTCAATCCATTACAAGAAGACTTCATGTTATAAACTTCCTAAGCCAACATGCATTACAGTGTGAGATCTTTCATTATAAAATTTACCCATGTAATCGTGGATCATGCTTAGTCCAACATGCCCATGTTCTTGGCTAATTGCCTTTGACTTCAGTTGAGGGAAGAGGTAAGGAGGTGGGGTGAACATAATTGAACAAATAACCTCTAGGCCAGTCTGGGGATTGTTATTTATATTGCCTTTGCCTTTTCTCATTTCCTTTGTACGCTTTATAAATGTTCGTTTGAATTGAATTGAATCCCTCCAGTGGCAAATATTTCATCCTAGAAATATTTAATAGAGAGTATCAGGATTTAATATTTCTAATCAGTGATTTCATGTGTGTGTGTATGTGTAGATATGTATATATATGTATATACATGTATGTATGTATACACACATATTATATATAATATGTAATATATAATATATATTTTATATATATGTATATAAATAAAGAAATCCTATTCTGGTATATATATATATATATATATATACACACATGTATCTATATACCAGAATAGGATTTCTTCATCTGTGATATATATGTGCGTGTATGTGTATACATATATATATATATATACACACACATTTATATATACACATATATATTTATATATACACACATGTATTCATATATATGAATCACAGATGAAGAAATCCTATTCTGGGTTTTTTTATTTACATATTATTTTATTCTTGCCTGGGATATAGAAATAGAAGCAATTTTGAGAGAGAGAGCAAGAGTGAGAGAGACAGAGAGAATGAATTCAAGTTAACTTTTAAAGAATATTTTAGGCATTGGCTGGTTTGTAGGTCCAAGTTCTTGAGTATGCTACAATATAGAAGTCAAAATGGGGTTTTTTTTGGTTATATTTACATACCTGGGATATGGTTTTTTATTTACATATCAGCTAAGGCAGGATCAATTAAAAGCAAATGTCAGTATTGAAAAGAAGAGAGAAAAAAAACAACCCTGTATCCAACTAAGTATAGGCCTAAGGTGTTTCAACATTCATAATCCTTATATACTGTACTTGTATATTGTTGAACCAGTCTGATGCCAATGACATCTCCATGTTGACTGCTTTTGTCTCTGTAGGAAAGAAGAAAGGAATTTGAAAATAACCTCTTAAAATCTGGCCTGGAATTAGAAACAGAAGACAAAAAGGTAAATATGGTTGTTAATGTCCTTACTTAACCTGTTTAATAAGATTCATCTGAAACAGAAACCAAAATTTGGGTTTCTCTGAAGGCTCAGAGTCGGAAGTCCTGACTTTCCATCATTTCTGAGCTGTGTGACCATGGGCAAAGCACTTGGATTCCCTGGACCTCTTTTTTCCTTCCTCACTACAATTGGGAATAATAATTGATTCTATATCTTTTATCTTCTTGTGAGGAAGGTGGTTCTTTTTTTTTTTTTCCTTCTTAAGTCAATTGGGGTTAAGTGACTTGCCCAGAGTCACACAGCTAATGAGTGTCAAATGTTTAATCTGAGGCTGGATTTGAATTCAGGTCCTCCTGACTTCAGGGCTGGTCCTCTATCCACTGTGCCACCTAGCTGCCCCAGTGGAAAGTGGCTCTTTGTAAACATTAAAGTGCTATATAAATGTGAGTTTAGGTCACTATAATTAATTATTACTTATTTATAATTAATTAATATTATTATTGCTACTATTAGAATTTGGAGGCAGGATGGAGATGCTGTATTTTGAGATGGGAGATCTGCTTCTCTTACATTACTCATCGAGAAGTCAGTTAAAGTAGACCCCAGTCTCCAAGGCAGGGTTGTCAGTATGCCACATTGAGTTTACAAGAGTAGTTTTGCTCTACATATCCAATTATTGCACTGCCGCTGCTTTGCTTTGCATGGTTTGGCTCCTACTCAACTATTCAACCTACTTCCCACTACTCACTCCACCAATTCTAAAGTCCAATCAGGGAAATCTCCCCATCCTAGCTGCCCTCAAACATGCCAAGATTATTTCTGCCTCATATTTCCTTAACTTGGAAATCTTAAAAATCCTAGTCATCTTTTATTTTTTTATTTTTTTGGTTTTTTGGTTTTTTGGTTTTGGTTTTGTTTTTTTTTTTTGCTTTTTGGTGAGGCAATCGGTAGTCAAGGAAAATTTGAGGAAGGAGTGATTTGAAACTGTAATCATTAAGTCTGTATATCCCCAGTGTTAAGCATAGGACCCTGAGCTTAGTAGATGCTTCATACATATTTAATTAAATTGCTCAGAATTGTAGCCATAAAACATTTAATAATAGGAGTTCGAAACACAATAGCACTTTAACTTAACAATCTAAGTCAAACAACTTATCATCAAACAATTATTAACCAATTATTAGCTGCATTTGGGGATACTTCAATAGAGCTATGGTCTTCCCACGATGGGGAAGTGCAGATCTCAATTCTGTGCCTTCAAATCCTGCACAATCTTTGACTGTGCCTTCCAGTAAAATTTTCACAAGGATTCTACCCAATGTGCTAGGTCTCTTTCTTTGTACCAAGAGTTCTTGAATTTTTAAATGTCATGGACCCCTTTGTTAGTCTGGTGAAGGCTATAGACTCTTTCTAAGAATAATGTTTTTAAATGAATAAAATAAAATACATTGGATTACAAAGGAAATTAATAATATTGAAATACAGCTTTCAAAAATATTTAAAAAGTTCACATATTCCATATTAAGATTCCATGCTCTTGGCCTCTTTATTACATGAATACCAGTGAAGTTCCCAGATGGCCATCTGTCTGGGATCCATCGTATTGCCTATGTGGCCAGCCTACTTCATTTTCTAGTCATATATTTCTTTGCATCATCATTTATGCCTCTTTTTCCCCTGAAATTCTTCATCGTAGCCTACACGCCATTGTAGCCTCCCTCCATTGCCTTTTGGATGACCTGCAACTTTAATTTCTTGGAATTACAAAACACTACTTATCTGTGGAGAAGAAGGGAAGAAGCATTTATTGAGTGCCTGGCATTTTGCTAAGTGCTTTACAAATTTTATCTCATTTGATTCTTACAACAACCTTGTTAGGTAGGTGTCATCATTATCCACATCTTAGAGTTGAAGAAAATGATACAGACAGAAGTTAAGTACATTGCCTAGGGACATACAGTTATTAAATCTCTGAGATCAGATTTGAACTTGGGTCTTCTTGACTTCAGGCCTAGCGCTATCCCAGTCACATAGCTTTGATAAGCTCTGGTGATAATGGAGATAAGAACACAATTCTCCCTGCCCTCGAAGAGCTTATAATTTATTAGGGAGGTACAGCATAGGTACAGATGAGGTCAGCCATGATGCTAATAACAAAGGAAAGGAAATTTTAAGGAAAAAGAGACCATGAAGTACCGGTTCTACAGACCAGCTTTGGGAGGTAGGGAGGGCAAGTATTTTACAGACGAAGAAACTGAGGCTGGGAGAAGCCAAAGAACTTGCTTAGTGTCTAGTAAGATAATGTTAGAGGCAAGATTTGGACCCAGGTTTCTCTAGACTCTGAGTCTAGTACTCTTTTGATTACAACATACTAATTTTCTAAAAAGCACAAGAGATGATGCTGAAGCTTTTACTTCATATCATACCCTGGAAGTCTTTTAGTTTGGGTGGTTTTTAAGTATAGGATGTGGCTTGCTTTCATGTCACGTGCCTTTCTCCTAAAGACTGGTTAAAAGAAAAAAGTTGTATTTTGCCTTATTTCTGTAGCCCAGATCACAGTGTCCTTAATGTCAATGTGTCTTCTTTCTCTTAGGACTCTGAGGATGGCCGAACTTACTTCATCAAGATCCATGCCCCTTGGGAGGTGCTGACCACATATGCAGAGGTGCTGAACATCAAAATGCCCATTCGGGAGAACGATATTCCCGCAGCCATGGAGAATCCCTTTGAGTGTATGTTTGGGCTCTTTCGGCTCCCAAAGGAAGTGATGAACCCTGAACCAGACTACTTCACAGCCCCATTCAGCAAACAGAGGCAGGAGCTTTTCTTCATTGAGGATGAGAACACCTTTTTCTCGCCGTCAGTGAGAAATAGAATTGTAGGTAGACCCATTCTGAGTTTTTTTCTTTAAATCTAAATGTTCCCATGAGCATGTACTCGTGTGGTAGGGAGCTCTCAGGCAGTGCTGGGTGGGCATGGATGTGTGTGATATCAAACTGGACCATGAGGTAGCAGATTCCAGACTTCTCCATACTTTCTCTGTGTCTAGGAGTCAATTCTTTCCACCCCCACCCCATTTAATATACTGATGAGTATCAATTAATCAGTAAGCATTACTGTAAAGTAAACATTAAGTACCTGCTATATGCCAGGCATTGTGCTAAGCCCTGGGGATAAAAAAAAAGGGAAAAGACAGTCCTTCACCTCAAGGAGCTTACAGTCTAATGGGGGAGATAACATGCAAACATATATCTATATCTGTCTATATGTCTCTATCACACACATACACACACATACACACAAAGCAAGCTCTATATAAAGGGTAAAAAGGAGATAATTAAGAGAGTAAAAACACTGGAATTAAGAGGGCTTGGGGAAGGAAAGGTGAAGTTTTACTTGGGACTTAAAGGAAGCCAGGGATTCTAGTTAGAGCAGAGGAGGAAGAACATTATGGATGGGGAGGACAGCCAGAGAAAATGTCCAGAGCCAAGAGATGGAGTGTCTTGTTCATGGAAAAGCCAGGAGGCCAATGGCATTGGATCAAAGAGTATGTGTCTAGGAGTGAAGTGTAAAAATACTGGAAAGCTGGAGGGGGCTAAGTGAATGCCAAATAAAGCATTTTGTATTTATTCCTTGGGGCAACAGGAAGCCACTGGAGTTCATTGACATAACCATAGTAGCTCAATGTAGGGTGGGCCAGAGTGGGGAGAGACTTGAGGCAGGCAGACCCACCAGGAGATTATTGAAATAATCCAGGTATAAGGTGGCAAGGGCCAACACTAGAGTGATGGCAGTGTCAGAAGAGAGAAGGGGACATATGCAAGAGATGTTTCAAAGTTGAAATTGATGGGCCTTGACAACAGATTGGATATGGGGGAGGGGGGAGAGAGATAGTGAAGAATCCAGGGTGACACCTAGGTTGCAATCCTGAGATATTGGGAGGATGGTGTTGCCCTCGATAGCAATAGGGAAAGTAGGCACGGAGGAGGGTTTAGGGTTAAAGATAATGGATTCAGTTTTAGACATATTGACTTCAAGATGTCTACTGGACATCCAGTTCAAGATGTCTAAAATGCAATTGGGAAATGCAGGACTGGAGGTCAACAGAAAGATTGGGACAGGAAAAATAGATTTGAGATTCATCAGCATAGAACCCTGTTTAGGGTTTCTTTTTCTTTTTGTTTTTGATAATAGCAGAATAATTTCTTGATCTGCACCTTCCCCTGCATAGAGCCCTCCACTGAAACAAAGAAAAATCATTAAGCAAATTAATCTGACACTGGGGTGTGTGACAGTGTATCCATATTCAACACCTCTGTATCAAGAGCCAGGAGCCATGCCTTTTAGTATTTAATCTGAATTCTCCAACTTTTTAGTGTATCTTTGGTGATTGCAGTCAATATGTGTATTGCTTTCATGGTTCTGCTTTCTTCACTCTATTAATTCATTTCTGTTTTCTCATGTTTCTCTGAAAGACCTCCCATTCATTATTTCTTGTAGTGCAATAATATTCCCTAATTCTCATATTCCATAATTTTTCAGCTACTCCTAAGTGATGGGCCACTTATTTTGTTTCTAGTTTTGTTTTGCTATCCCCTAAAGGGCTGCTGTGAATATTTTGCTATATATGGGACCTTTCTCTCTGTCCCTGATCTCCTTAGGGTACATATTCAGTAGTGGAATCTTAGCGTCAAAGGGCATGAATGGTCAGTGATACAGAATATTTCCTAGATAAGATATAGGCAAGAAATCCTTTCTCTCCACTCTCAAATGAGCAAAGGTTGTGGAGTGGGAGCCACACCTAGAGATGGTACTGTGGTACCCGAGGATCTAAAAGGCTCCCCATTACCATGCGCATAGAACAATGGTGCCCAGGCCTTCTTCTCAAGTTTATCTTCACAGCAAAATGCAAACGTGTGTGGGTTAAATGGGGAAACCAAACTGTACTTCTGTGGTTTGCAGTTTGACAGTAGCAAAAATACTAGTTGACGATTCATTGTGGCTGGATGTTGTGGTGATAGGCCCTTGGCCTCGTTGAGCTCTGCTGAAGACCAGAAACTCAAAACTCAGCGTTTCAGGAACAGGAAGATTTTTTTTTTTCTTTTTTGAAACTCAAGTAATTGATGCTGCCAGTCAAGGCCAGCTCTGACCTCTCTGGATGGCACGTAGGCGACCTTGGCCTCACATTCATGTCAGGGGTAGAAGCCCTGGCAGATGTTACTAAGTAGAAAATACTTGGAGTGCTAACCTGGTGATAGATTGAGCATCTTGTGTCTGAGGAGCAGGGTCTTAGATCATACAATCAGAGACCTAAAGCTGGGAAACGTCTCAGCGGCCATCCAGTCTAACCCCTTCCCTTTACAGGTGAAGAGGCTCAGGTCTCAAGAGATGAAGTGAGTTTGCAAGTTCAGTCAGGTAGTAAACACCACAGGATCATAGATTTAAAAATGAAAGCAATCTCACAAGCTGTTGAGTCCAGTCTGCACATTTTACAGATGAGGAAACTGAGGCACAGAAAGGTTAGGTGACTTACCTATAGGGTGGCATAGCTGAGCTTTTGAAGTCATTTTCTTGATTCCAAGTCTTCACTCTATCCACTGTATCACTTAGCTGCCTTTAACTTGGGCCATGAGAGTCTGAAAGAGACAAGACACTCATTTCTGTCTCGAGATAACACATCCTTTGTTTCTAAGGAGCCAGGGACTCCATCACTTCCTTATACATGTGTCAGCACACTGTGTCTCTCCCGGGCTGAGAAAACCATCTCCAAAAGAGCCATCCATTTCCGTTGCTAAATGGATGAGGTGATATTTACTGACAGCATTACTGAGAGAGAGTCAATGCCTGGAACCACAGTGTGGATCCTGAAAATAGCAACTGCCGAATCTCTCACTGCTCTCTGAGCTGTTGCTTTAAAAGTCTGGATTGCTGACTCGGGACTCAGAATCCTTTTGGAACACAACTCAACAAACAGTTATTAAGACCTGGCACCATGCTAGGCACTGGGGGTACAGCGATGGAAGATGATAGGTAGTCCTTCCTCCCAAAGGGATTACAGTCTAAGAGATTCTAGACAAGAAAAAAGAAGTGAGGCTGATGAATCTCTGGGGATATTGACTTCCCTTTATGTCTTTCCTAACTTTTTTTTTGGAGGGGGTAAGGGTATGATTTTTATCAATCTGAAGAACTCCTGATCTGGATGTTCCCTCTATTGATGCATATTGTCACCTTGTATGCAACATCATCTTTGAGTGTTGCCTTGTCACACTGAGAGATTAAGTGATCTTTTCATGGTCCCAAAAGTATTTTGTATCAGAGGCAGAATTCGAATCAGTCTTCCTAATGACATGGTTGACTTTCTATCCACTGTGCCATATTGCCACTCTTCAGTTATTTAATACTAGGGGTCCCAAACTTGAGTCATTTTTGGGTTAAGATTTCCTCTCTTTTGTAGGGAGACAATTAATACCTTATCTCCTTTTGTGGACACTGATGCAGCACCCTTTTCCCCCATAATCGCTTTCCCTAAGCACCATGGCTTTGTAAATTGTTATTACTTGTAACCTGTATACAAATCTACATCTATATCTATCTATCTATCTATATGTGTGTATGTATGTATGTATGCACGTGTATCTGTGTATATACATGCTTTTGTTCTTTCTGAATCACTTTAACATAGTTTGTGTCATTTGATTTCTACCCCAATCTTTTGAGGAAATAGAACAGCTATTACTATTATTATCATACCCATTCTAGAGTGCTGAGAGAACATGAGTAATTTGCCCAGACCTGCCAGAAAACACTGTCAAGGATCCAGCTGTTGCTGGCAGATTCCTCATGCCAACCCATTCCATGCTCTCTGTGCCCAAAACCTCAGGCAGATTGCAGTATTGTCTTAAACACAACTTCCCCAGGAGCGTACATACTATATCGAAACAGGAACATAGACACTCAAGAAAAGCCACCCGGAAACCAGGCCCCCGATGCCTGACAGTGGCATCACAGTGGTCCTGTCTCTTCCTCCTTTCTCTGTGTCTTCCTTGTACTACAAGAGGAAGGGTATATCTAGTACTGCAGACACCCGCCCAGAACTTCTGCTTTCCATACTTGAAATCTGCTATTCTTAGATAATCTTAGAGTAGGAGAGAGGCTGGTGCAATCTCTAGACCATTGCCCCTGGCAGCCAGTGTCTTGCCTTCCTCCTAATTCAGCCACTGTGGCTTCCTTAGTGAGATAACAAATCACACAATGACTAGGATGGCTGGGACTTGAAATAGAATCTCCTGGCTCCTCTCTGAGAACTATCACTCTAGTATACAGCACCCCTCAGCCCCTTGACCTGAGGAAACCAACACATATCATCAGGCAGAGAGTACCAGAGGCGTGTTTCAAAAGGAAGAATGAAAAAAAGTATAACCTGCATTTGAAAAGCCTTCCTGCCTTCTGGAAGCTCTCCCAACCATGCAGCTCACCTGAACCACTGTCTCCTATTTCCTATATGAAAATGTGTACTGTCCCACTTAGCCCCAGGCTGGGAGATTTCACTGGAAGTGAGTCAGAGGGAAGAGGGCCAAGAGCTGAATCACATGCTTACTGGATTTCCCTTGACTGTTTCTCATGGTCTATTCAAGTGACACCTAATGAAATCACAGTCTCAGGTTGCCCCTGTCCCTAGACCTTCTCATTCTCAGTTGGTACACCTGAATCATTCAGCTGCTGCCAGAGAGACTGTAACTCAGTCAAATACCTTCAACCACTATCTTCCATGTCCTCCATCTTACCCACCACCAGCCCAGGCCTGGCAAGTGGGAACACTCTGGGAGGAAGCCTTCCCACTGCCACACCCATCTTAGTCCTCTCCTCTACTCAGGCTATCTTGTATTCATCGGTGTACATGCCACTTCCTTCCCCTTAATAGAAGAGGAGCTCCTTTAAGACTTTTTGGTTTCCATCTTTAAAATAACGGCTCAGAACATTTGTTTTTTTCTGGTTCCTAGCAGTGTCTTGCACTGTGATTATCTTGTAATTCTCTCCAGCCATGCAGAGGGCTAGCTATCCATGGCCACCCATTCTGTGCAGTTCTTGTCCACATACTCCCATAAATTTCCCACGGAGGCCTACCCAACATAGTGCAAGGTCTTCCTAATATACTTCTGAACCTTTAGCTACTCTCTTCTTCCCTGTCTCCCCTATTCACCCAAGCACCAGTGAGGCCCACATATCTTTCCATAATGGTATCTCCTTGAAAACCCAAGAGAGTTGGATCTGAAAGGATCCTTAGACATTAACTACATTTTGATAGAATGTAAGCTTCTTGAGAGCAAGGACTGTTTTCTTTTTGCCTTTGTATCCCTAGAATCTGAGAGGTAGTACTACATAAAGATCCAGTCTTGAAATCAGGAAGACCTGCATTAATTTCCTTCCTGGGATGCATACTTGTTGTGTGACTCTCGGCAAGTCACTTTCACTATTTGCATTCTAGGCAAATTGCTGACCCTCTCAGTTGCAGAAGAGATGCTAGCCTGCATTGATCGAGGAGGTTTCCTCACCCGGGACTTTCCTTCCCTAGAACAATGAAATCATAGGTCCAGTTTCATCTCTATTCCCAAGCTGTAGCACAGTGCCTGGTATGTAGTTGGTGCTTGATAAATATTTTCTGATTGACTAATTATACCAATGAAACATACAGGCTGTCTGCCTACCAGTAGTCCACTCACACTACATAGTATTATGGAAGGAAATTATCACACAAATCTCCTTATGTGACGCGTGTTTTTTTCTAGCTATGCCTTTCTTTTAATGACCATCCTTCACCTGTGTAATTACGTGTATGCATTAGTCATATAATAAATATTTATTGAAATGAAATCTTTTCTCAAAATGGCCACAAGAATATAAACAAGAAGGCACTATGTCTTATTGTATAACCCCAGGTTTATTTGTGTGTAGTAACATTTCCTCTTCGGTAAATGGTTAGACAGATCATCTCCATCTCTGGACAATCATTTAATAACCATTTTTTGAAAATAAGCTTGCTGAGTTTTCCCCACCACTCCCACGTACTTCTGGTGTACTTCTTCCATTTTGATCTCACTCTGCTTTGCATTGTCCAGCTGCTCTGTGCTCAGAGAACATCTGATAATGTGAATAGCATATGAGTCTAATGTATATAGAAAGATAAAAGTTGTGCTGAGGGTATTGTATCATGACATTTTCCAGACTGAAAAAGGACAATCCATTCTACCATTCCAGCCTATTACTATGGCTGATTATGAAAGAACTGCCTTCCATGGTGTCACAAAAGAAATTCAGTTGCACGAAGGCATATGGAAAGGATAAAATGCTTGACTCTTCTTTCTCTCCCCCCATGCACATGTTGTTCTCCTCCGCCCCAGAGAATAACACAGTAGAAGGAACCTGAAAGGCCGTTGAGTCTCGCCCATACTTGAATACGAATTTCCCCCTACAACATAGACAATTCTGACAAATAGATGTCCAGAATTTACCTGAAGACCACTATTGAATTATAACTCTACCTGTCAAGGCAGCCTGTTACATTTTCACTCGTTAATTTTAAATGCATTTTATCAATAGGTTGTTTTTTTTTCTTTTATACTGTCTAAATTTCCCCCTCAATCCCATTTTTAGAAAGCTATGATTGTTAGGAATTTTTCCTTACACCAAGTATTTCTCTGCCTTCCTACAACTTTTCTCCAAGTCCTGTTGATTCCATCCTTGCACTGTCTTTCATTTCTGACTGGGTTCCCTTTCTCTAATCTCTACTCCCTTCCATCTATCTTTCACATCAGTGACCGTGTAATCTTCCTAATGTACAAGTCTGACCGTGCTCTGCCTCTGCTTAAACCTTTGAAGAGCTCTCGATGACAGCTGCTGAAAGATGTTCATACTGTTTACTTCAGCATTCAAAGCCTTGCACCATATAACATCACTCTTTTCCATTTTGGTCTCACTCTACTCTCCATTATATACCCTGCATTGCAGTTGAAGTGACCCATATACTGTCACTCAAACTCACTCATTCCTTTGTTCGGCCTCTTTGTTTCTATGGTCTCTCCCATGTCTGCATCTTTTAAGGCCCAAATGACAACTCTTAGGTGAATCTTTCTGCCACCTCCTGGCCTGAGCAGAAATTATTTTTCTTTACATAATTTCATCATCAAGAGGCATTATAGTATAGTGAAAAGAATACCGAATTTAGAATCGGAAGAGATGTGTTTGAATCCTACCTCCAACACTTATTATGGTCAAATTATTTAACTTTCCCGAGTCTCAGTTTTCCTAATTGGTAAAATGGATTTAAAAAACCAAAAACCTGTAGTAGTTAACGTTGCTGGGTTGTTGCAATGATCAAACAATCATTCATTTATTCATAAAACACTTTTCAAACTGTAAAATCACATGTAAATGTTAGCTATGGTTTATTTTGCATTACAGAACCTTGAATATGCCTTGCCTTGTCTGTCTCACCTTCCAGTATTCTCTGTCTCCCTAGGTTCCTAGCACCTTCTGTGCCCTATACAGAGTAGGCACTTACAATGTATTTTGAATTGAATAAGTGGATACCCTTATGTTTGCCTTCTAGGTTTACTATATTCTCTCACGGTGCCCTTATGGTACAGAAGAAGGAAAGAAAAAATTTGGCATTAAGAGACTACTATCAAATGGTACCTATACAGCTGCTTACCCACTGCATGATGTAAGTATTGATTTAGTCTTAAAGCATTTTAAGCCCATTTCTTCTGCCCATTAATGGAGCTGGAGAACCTCCACTGGTGACCCTTTAAAAGGAAGGGAGCTTTACTTCTCTCTCTTCTGAGCAAATCCCTAAGTCTCCCAGTTCTCTGTTCTATGGATTAAGATATTTGACTATTTTGAAAGGAAGGATGGTGCAAAGGCAAGAGTGCTAGATTGGAATTCAGGGAGGCCTGCGTTTGAATCCCAACTCTTACACTGACTGCATGGCTTTCAGCAAATTGCTTCTCCTCTCCGAGCCTAAAAATGAGAATGATAATTCTTATAGTACCAACCCCTATTATATATATATATATATAGTACTACATAGATATATGTATTTGTTGTAAGAGTACTCGGCAAATTGAAAACCCTCTGGAAATTGAGGTTTCAAAATGGTTGTTCTTTTTTCTTTTTTCCCAGGTGGTAACATTCTGAAATTCAGAAAGGGCAAATTGGTGTTTTAAAAATGATTTCTCACATTTATGCATGAAAATTCTTTCAAGGTCTAAGGACCAAAAAATAGCATAGCCCTTTAGGGAGAAAGAAGCATGCTGCTAAGTATAACCCTTAGATATTTCTATCTAAAGCTTACTTAGAAAACTCTGAAGATTCAGTACTAAGAGTTTGAAAGTACATCACTTTAGACTCAGGGTTCTTAACCTGGGGTCCAAGAATTTGTCTTTAAAAATAACGTTGATCACTGTATTTCACTACAATTGGTTTCTTTTGTAATCTTAGGTGTTTATTTTATTCACTTAAAAGCATTATTCTGAGAGGAGTCTATGGACTTCCCAAGATGAAAGGGATCTGTGATCCAAAAAAGGTTAAGAATCGCTTTTTTAGAGGTAGGGGACCATGGATATACAATGGTGCAGAAAGACTTTTCTGATACAGTGTTGAGTTTTGGTGAACTTTTCCCCCCCTTCTTTATTCTTCATCATAAGGGATGCTCATGGAGAGGGGAAGTCTTGGGGGACAAATTGAGAAGTGTAGGAAGTATAAAAATAATATGTAAATAAAATCTTAGTTTTAAAAAGGATTAAATTTTAAAAATAAAAACAATATGTAAATAAAATTTTAGTTTTAAAAAAGGATTAAGAAAACAAAGAAAATAGGTGATTTGGTGGAATCCCTAGATACTTCATTGGCTGTTTTCTTACTACTTTTATTTTTTAAATGTAAATTTTTCTCTTCTATTTTTACCTCACTTAAATTTGTCCTTGTATAACTTCCCCTCCTTCCTCACAGAGAGCCATCCCATAAAACAATGAAGTTTTTATTAATAAAGGGAGGAAGAAGAGGGAAAGAAAATTAAACCAATCAATACAGGAAAAAAAATTGAAAATAACAAGTGTAATATTTTATAGCTACAGATCTTCCACCTCTGCAGGAAAGGGGAGGGGGCAGGTGTCTTATCATATCTCTTCTTTGGAGCCAAACTTTTTCACTTTGCAACATCTACTTTTCATTGTTTTCTGTCTGCTTTTTTGGTTTCTGTTGTGTCATTATGCATATTGTTTTCTTGGCTCTGCTTTCTTCACTTTGCATCCATTCATGTAAGTCTTCCCAAACTTTTTTTTTTCCTGTTACTTTTAGAGCTGGGATTCTTTGAGTTTGTGACTTTAAAAAAAATAACTACACTACATATAATCGTTTTCTTTTGTAATCCTGTATATTTTTATTTATACGTTTAAAAACATGATCTGATCAAAGATGGTCTTTAGGCTTCACTAAAATGCCAAAGCAGTCCAGGACACACACAAAAAAGGTGTCTCTGCTTTTGGGAGACATGAAAACAAGGATAGAATGTAATTAAGAATTCCTGCAAATCACTGTTTGTGTATGAAAAGGCTGAGTTTAGTAGCTACCTGTACCATCACACAGGTCATTTTTATTAGTATACAATGAGCCAGTTCAAAAAGCCCATCCCTGGAGATGCACCTAGCATTCAGCCAGTCTGGCAATAGTAGGGGAACTGTTCTTATCTCATTTGGAATTTGGAACTCAGTGAATGGTCTGCTCTGATCAGTGGCAAACTGACTATTCATGGAGGGATTGAGAGGAAAATGTGGATACACTTCCCCTAGGAGTTACTCATTCCTCCAGGGATTTTTACTTAATGGTCTAACAACTACCCAGGTAAATTTCTCCTTCCTTAATGTTTAAAGGGCCTGCAGTGGTGCTTTTGCTTTATGAGAGATCATATGTAAGTTTGTGGAAAGCAGAAAATTCCAGGGAAATGTGGGTGGATGCCTACCCACCCATATTTACACATGGAGAAGAGCAGTGCCATTAATATGTCCATACATAGTAAAGCCTATCTATTGTAAGAGTTATTGAGACAGTCAGGCCATTCATGCTATGGTAGATATTCTATGAGATATTTGCCATAGTGTCAAGTCATTTCAACTCATCAAGAAAAATGATACAAATGGGGAGATCAAGGGTCTTGTACACAATCCTGGCATATTTTTCTGATGTGTGAATGGTGGTTTACAGCATGGGGGAATTTGAGGTGTTTGTTACTATCAGAGCAAGAGGAGTTACTCCCCAGACTTGACTGTGGACCAAGAGCAATAAAGGAATTCCCCTTTGACAGTAATGCCTTGGAACAAGCCTGATGTGAATGAGTCAGCCCTTGGGCAACCACAGGACACCTTCAGTGGCCATCTATTTAAACCAAGTCATATCCAAACAGGAATTCCTTCTTCAAAATTCCTCATGAATAGAATGACCTGCCAGCATCTTTTTGAACACCCCACTACATCTTGAGACAGTGCATTTTGATTCTAGACAACTCTAATGGCTAAGGATGCTTTCTTTATATTGAGCTGAAATCTGCCTCTTTGCAACTGCTAACCATATTGTTATGAGTTTGGAGGTCCAGCATTATAAATCTCCCTCTTTCATATGGCAGTCTTCACATCCTTCAAAGACAACTATTATCATGTTTTTCTCTTTCCCTCACATGTTCTCTTGGAGGCCAAAAGTCTCTAATTCCTCAAGCCGTTTCCCTGTGGCACTGGTGTCCAGTTTGGAGACATTCTACTTTGTTAATGTCCTTCCTCAAATGTGGTGCCTGGAAATGGATGTATCCACTTTGTTGACGGTTTCTTACAGCCAAATACTCCCATTCTGCTGTGGAGACTGTGGAAATACAGTCTTATTATTGGTACTATGGGGAAGAGAGAAAGAGGGTTGCCTGCTTCCTGCTTTTAAGAGTCTTCTAATTTAGGGAGGTAGACTTGGAAAGATCAATGAACTTGGAAGCAAGACACATGGGTTCAGATCTCAGCTCTGTTGCTAGCTGGGTGATGCTGGCCAGCTCCCTTCATCTTTCTAAGCTTCAGTTCTCTGGTCTAGGAAATAGGGGTATTAATACTTACATTATCTACCTTACAAAAGATGGTTGAGGTAAAAATATTCTGTAAACCTTAAAGTAATATAAAAATAAAATGCATGATTACTATAAAGGAAGAGAGCATATCACATATGCATGTGCATATTTACATATACCCATATCTAGAACTTCAGAGAATATTCAGAATGATGCATAATTGCTAAATGCATGAGATGCATACCTTCTTCCCTGTGGTACAGAGGTGGTCAACAACAACAGATATAGAGTAGAGGCATATACTGTCAGACGTGATCAGTGTGTCCATGTGTTTTGATCAGCACTTCTATTATTATCCCTATTTTACAGGTGAGGGAATTGAGGTAAACAGAGGTTAAGTGACTTGTCCAGGGTAGCAGAGCTAGTAAGTATCCGAGGCCGTGTTGGACTCCAGGCCCAGTGCTCTATCCACTGTACCACCTAGCTGCCTCAACTACATAGAAGGGGAAAGTATTCTAGGTACAAGAGACTATGTAATTGACACCAAAGCCCTCCTTCACAGAGGGCCAAAGGAGAGGGAATTGACTTTCATCGTGTGCCATTTCTGACTTCCTCTTTGGCAGGGAATTCATTTTAAGTGAATGGGTTATTGGAATCTCAAGTAGAAAGTCTTTGAGCTAATGTATCCCCTGTGCTGCACCCCACCCCTGCCCCAGGCATTACGCTGAGGTAACTGGGAGATACTGTCACTTCAACCTGACCTTCTGCTTTGTCTTCTCTCTGTCATGTTAATGACTTCCTATAGTGCCAATATTGGAAGAAATCGAAGGATCAAAACTGTGGCAATGAGCGGTATACCCTCTATACCCAGTGGGCTCGCTTCTTGAGGTTTTATAAGGAGCAGCCTTTGGATCTGATCAGGTAAGTTACTTTCGTGAGCATCGCTGTGAATGAAATGTCATTGGGGCTTCCCTTTTCACTTGGCAATGCTAGGTTAGATCTATTTTTTTTTTTTAACAGTTGCAGAAGAAAGAGTACTGCTTCTGGAATCAGAGGCTCTGATTTCAAATCCCGCCTCTGACGCCTGCTGTCTATGTCCTTGAGCAGGTGACTTAGCAAGTCAAGTCAATGATCATGTAGTAAGCACTTACCAGTTCTGGATCTGTGAAAAAAGGCAAAAAATAGTCCCTGCCCTCAAGTATGTTATATTCTAGTTAACTGCTTGGGTCTCAGTTTCCTTAACTGTATATTAAAGGATATTAAACTAGATGAGTTCCAAGGCCCTTCCCAGCTCTTGTTCTAGGATTGTATCATTGTATTGGATGCTGTCACTCGTATTCTTCTGATTTCATCATGGCTGCCATCTGCTGGTAGTTAAGTTCTCCCAAGGTCATTCTTGAAGGAAAACAAAAACAAGCCCTAACTTGTTAACCAATTAAATGGCTGCAACTAGGAGTGTTATGTTAACATCTGCAAAAACTGATGTTGAATTTTAGAAGGTCACATTGATCTGATTAGGATATCATTTATTTATTTGTCTTTTTAAAATTTAATATTTTATTTTTCCCAGTTACATGTAAAAGCAATTTTAACATTTTTTTTTCAAATTTTGAGTTCCAGATTCTCTCCCTCCTTCCTCTCCCCCCCACATTGAGAAGGCAAGCAATTTGACATAGGTTATACATGTATAGTCATGCAAAACCCATTTCCATATTTAATAATCATCACTAGAAGTTTGGCCACTAGGATGACTGACTTGAGCAAAGAAAGGCACAGTAACTTTCACAGTTATAGTAAGGCAGTGTGGTGTAGTAAACATAGTCAGGATGATCTGAGTTCAAATCCCAGCTCTGATACTTGCACAATTCACTTGACCTGCCTCCAGCAAGACTTTAGGACTTATCTCCTAAGACTCGTCTACTAAGATGAGTTACTATTATCTTTTTTTTTTTTTTTTTTTTGCTAGGCAATGGGGTTAAGTGACTTGCCCAGAGTCACACAGCTAGTAAGTGTTATATGTCTGAGGCTGGATTTGAACTCAGGTCCTCCTGAATCTAGGGCCGGTGCTCTATCCACTGTGCCACGTAGCTGCCCTGAGTTACTATTATCTTGTGAAAGCGGTTGCCCTATACTGAAATGAAATGATGTGGGAATTATACTGAAGAAACCACAGGTCCTTTGCCATCCTATCTCTTGAAAACCATCCACTAAGGTGTGATTTGTTTTGCATTTTCTAACAGTGGAAGAATTTCTTACCCTAGTAAAATCACATCTTGAAGTATTATAAATCTGTCCTTTATAAAGGAGCTGTCCCCATAGCTGGAGTACAGTCTCTACCCCTTCCTTTCCCTGGCTTCTTTAAGGTCCCAGCTAAAATCCTACCTTTTTCAAAAAGCCTTTCATGATCTTCCTTAATGCTAATGTCTTCCTTTCAATGATTATCTCAGTATATTTATCCTGGATGTATTTTGTTTGTACATGGTTGTTTGCATCTTGTCTCCCCCATTAATTGAACTGTGACTTCTTTGAAAGCTGAGACTGCTTTATGCCTTTCTTCATATGACCACTGCTTAACACAGTGCCTTGACTGTTAATGTACCATGACCATATCGGAAGGTAGAAAGGAGAAATAGCTCACATTCTACTATTTGTTAGTATTTCTATTGGAATTTCCCTAAACACGTGCTTTGAATTTGTTTGGTTCATTCAAGGTGAAATGCCAAATAATATTCCAAATTCATTGATCCTCCACTCTATGAGCAGGTTTAACAAGTGTTTGTGAAAGGATTATTAATCTTACTGTATTTGAGGAGAGAAAAATCTGAGAGGCGAGGCTTAATAGATGCAAAACTATGATAACAGCTCCCTAGAAAAGCCTGGTGTTGATCTTACATCCTTCAGAAGGGCTGCCTTCTAATTGCATAGGGCCTCAGTCCCCAGATACGACATTAACAAATTTGTTTTCTATTATTTGGGCCTTGGCCAATTGGCTCTAGTGGATTTCAGCTGTCAGGAGCAATGAGTTTGTCATTTCCTGTAATCAACCTGTTGGTGGTGTTTTTCCCTAAACTTAAGCTTCTTAATTCCCTGAGCTTGATTTTCCCTCAAAATGAAAAACTCTATTGTCTTTTTCTTCTAAAAATTCATCCATTTTTCTTTGGAATGCCATTGGGAAGAGAGCTTCTAGGGAGATTGTGTTGGAGGGAACACTTTCTCAGTGAAAGCTCCTCTATGAAGCCATTGGCCATTTGCTGTTGTTCAATCCACTTTTCAGTCGTGCCTGACTCTTCATAACCCTCTTTGGGATTTTCTTGGCAAAGATGCTGGAGTGGTTTGCCCTTTCCTTCTCCAGCTCATTTTACAGATGAGGAAATAAGGCAAACAGGGTAAAGTGTCTAGGGTTACATAGCTGGTGAGCGTCTGAGGCCAGATTTTAAGAGTCTTCCTGACCCCAGGACAGGCACTCTATCCACTGTGCCACCTAATTGCCCTATTGTTCAATGAAGATGATATGAAAATTAGACATATCTCTATTTATCTTTATCTGCCTACCTATCTGTGTATATTAAATGAGATAATTGTACGAAACTATCGCTATGGTCCTTTCTAACTCTGGGAAGGTAGAAATCTGTCTGATTTGTATTTGAGGAGCAAAGCCCAAACCTTCCAAGCACTTTTGAAGCCTTGTTGTTTAGAGTTGAAAATCCACAGGATCAGAGATTTCAATCTGGAAGGAACCATGGAGATCAGTTCGTTCTAGTTTATTTCCCAGAGGAGGAGCACGCGTAGTTTGTTACATGACTTCCCCAAGATCACACAGTAATAATCATCAGAGTCTAGATTCAAGCCTGTGTCCTCTGACTCCAAATTCAGGGCTCTTTCCACCTAGAGTGGAAACCATTTAGAGTCTGTCCTGGGAAGCCAGTCTACCTCTGAACCTGTCTTTACCTCTTTTCCACAGGAGATATTATGGAGAGAGAATTGGCATCTATTTTGCCTGGCTGGGATTCTACACCGAGATGTTGTTCTTTGCAGCAGTTGTTGGCCTAATCTGTTTTATCTACGGTTTGATAACAATGACTGGCAACATGAGCAGGTAAGGGTCACTCCCCTGTACCAAAACACGAAAAGGGTTTGGTCACACACTGAATTTAACTTTCATTTTTACAAGGGTCTGGCATCCAAAGATGTTCCTGCTAGCAGAGTCAGTATTTCTATGGCAGTTGGTCCTAATTTCCTTCAGAAAAAGCCCGTATCTTCTAAAGAGAATGTCTTGGCTCCCATCTCTCCCCTTTCCCATCCACCCCCACCTAACTGCCAGAGTGAATTTTCCTAAAGCATGGATCTGACCATGCCCCTCCTTTACTCAGTATACCCCAGTGGTTCTCTTTTATTTCTGTATTCTTCTGTTTGGCATTGAAAGCCTCTCACAGTCTGTCTCCAGACTACCTTGCTAGGCTTATTCCATGTTATTGTCCTACAGGCATTTTACATTCCAACCAAACAGGGATCCATGCCATTCCATCTCTCATCACCATGCCTTTGTTTCCCTCACAGCATAGAAATCTGCGATGAGTTCATTGGAGGAGAGATCATCATGTGCCCTCTCTGTGATAAGAACTGTGAATATTGGAAATTGAATTCAACGTGTGAGGCTTCAAGGGTCTGTATTCTTGTCTGTGTTGGACCGGAGAGATTGAGGAGAGCCTTGGGGTGCTGGCAACAGCTGCTGATTTCATGAACCTTCTTTGTTTTCTCGTTTACAGTATTCACACTTGTTTGATAACGTGGCCACCTTATTTTTTGCAATATTCATGGGAATTTGGGGTGAGTATCTCTGCACAGATATGAGAAGCACCATGGTGTAGTGATTAGGGAGATGACCTCAGAGCCAAGAAGACCTGGGTTCAAAACCTTCCTGTGACTCATATTGACTCTGTGATCATGGGCAAGTCACGTGACTTTTCAGTATTGTAGGCAACTCTCTAAGACACTAAGTTTCTGAGAAGGTGACAACCTGCATTGATAGATGGAGTTCCTGGAGCTCACTATACCAGTGAAATCACAGTTGCAGTTATGTCCCTATCTCTGCATGGAGACTACATTCCTATAAAGGGTTTCATTACCACCTTTCCCCACTTGGTCCTTCAAGATAGCTCTTCACAGTCAAAATGAGGGGTGTCCATTGGGAAGTATTTCAAAAACTTCTTAAGACCAGGGCCTCCTTTTCATTTTTTTTTTTTTGTCTATGCACCTAGTAGAGTATCTTACACATAGTAGCTTATCAGATCATAGGTACAGAGTCCTTATTTCATAGATGAAGAAACTGAGGTCTCGGTCTAAGTTATGTGCCCAGCATCATTGATCTTGAAAGTGTTTGAGAGAGGATAAACCCAGGGCTTCTAACTCCAAAGCTGTGTTCTTTTCCAATGGACCAAACTTCCTATGTCATGGACACTTAATAGAAACTTGTGGGATTGGATTAGGGCAGCAGTAATTGAAAAGACTAGGCCATATTGTATAAATATCTATTTTTCCTTCTCCTCCTCCATGAGTTCATAAACCACCTTTGAAGCTTCATGTCTAATTTGTACCATTTTGTGGGGCCTGGAGACTAGAACTAAACCTGGGAATATAAGCCATAGAGAGTAAGTTTTGGGCTTATCCTAAGAAAAAATGTGCTAATAATTCAACCTTTCCAACATTTGATATATTGGTTCATGATGTAGTGGGCTCTCTCCATCACTGGAGACTATATGACTTCAGAGATGTTACCAATGGGATTCATGCATTAAGTCACATGTTGTACTGCTTGACCTCAAAAATCCCTTCCAACTCAGAATTTCTGTGACTTGAAATGAAAGTCCTCCCAAAATAATGAGTTTTTTAAAAAATGTTTTTTCTGCCAATTTGATTCTTTAAGCAAAACAAACTGATTTTATAAAATGTAGTAGTAAAAACGAGAGGCAGTAAGACATAGTAAATAGTGGTATCAGTCAGGAAGAGTTCAGGTTCTACCTCCAAACCGAGATTACTCTTGAAAACTTTTAGTTGCAGAACAGATGCTGATCTACAATGGGGGAGAGAATTTCCTCATTTGGAACTCCCTTCACCAATTGAATCACCAATTCAACCAGTCAAAGACAAAACAAAACAAAACAAGTCATCATCATCCTAATGTCTTATTACTAAGTTATTCTGATGCCTCACTGTGACTTCGAAGTGCCCATAGGATCTCAAAGGATGTCCCTGAAGACCAGCTGAGAAAACTCTTTGAGGACAGGCTTGGCAATGGCTTGTCTTTTGTTTAAGGACCAGCCTTGCTAAGCTCAGAGAGGCTTAACGCTAGCCAAGCCATGTATTTTTTCCCAGGCGTAGAAAAACAGTTGTGGGCCATGTGCTATAACAATAGTTGGAATACTTGGCAGACCTGTTGTACAGGTTGGCTATACTAGTCTTAAGAAGATTAGCCTACCTGCACTGTTAAGTGTAAGGGCTGCAACACAGGATGGGTGGACTAAGGGTAAAGATGCAAAGGAAGTTGAAACTAATGGATTCCATAATACCTCCAGAAAAAGACTGTTCCAGGTTTGCTGGGTCAATAAAATTCAACTTTCCCTGGGCCTCTGTTTTCTCGTCTGTGAAATGAGAAGGTGGAATAATAACCTTAGAAAACTCCTTTTAGAACTTACTTGATAATCCTGTAATCTCAAAAGTGCTTTAACATTCTATGATTCTTACTTGGGGATCCCAAAGATGAAAATTTTCTTTCAACATTTCAAAAGATCTGTGAATTTGATCTGTTTGAATTCTAGCTCTAGTGACACAAATTCTTTTTTTTTTAACTTCAGTTCAATTCAATCAACGTTTATTAAGTGCCTACTGTGTGCCAAGTACTGTATTTAGCACTGGGGATACAAAAAGAGTCAAAAGTCAATCTGTGGCTTCAAGCAACTTATAGTCTATTCGGGAAACAACAATCAATCAATCAATAAGCATTTATTAAGCACCTTCTATGTGCCAGGCACTATGCTAAACACTGGGGATACAAAAAAAGGCAAAAGACACAAATTCTAACCCTCTTTCTGCACACCCTAGTAGATGCTTCAAAAATAATGCTATTGTTGAAACAATTTCTTGCTGGGTGAGCAAGTTTTTGCCTCTCAGTTAATATACTATGCAGAGGATTATTGTAATATCTCCCATGGAGATCAAGAGGAGACTCTAATGTTAACTTCACATTTTTTCATTAATTCAAGAATGTGTCCCATCTGAAAACTCAAGAGACTGGCATCCCAAATGGAGAACCGGGGAGAGGTGCTTTGACAATGCTGCCATCGGGTGGTTCTTTCAGGGATTGTCAGTCTAGCAGTGAATTGTACTTGAATTTTTGTGTATCTTTCATATACCATTTGGAAATTCAACTAAATGATATACATTGTGCTCATCAATGGGAGAGACAGAGAAGTCCTGGCTCCTGACCTCAAAGAACTTACAATTGCTATACAAACATTCAATCCTTCACATGTTTATTATGTACAAGATCTAGATGTAGAAGGAAACTCAGCTCAACACCCTCATGGCCCAGTTAGGTTAAGTGACTTGCCCATGGTCTCCCAGCTACTAAGCTGTATGTACAGAATTCTGTCATTTTGTCAGCATGTGCAAAATTACTGGAAATACATGAAAAGAGCTAGTGTTACCACTTAGAGTGAATTCTGTAGTAGCCTGTCAAATATTTTTGAGAGATAACCCCTCTTTGCCTTAATTCAGAAATCCTCGGAGACGCCCAGAACACACAGAGGTCATCTGACTTATCCAGGGCTAAGAAGGATCGTAGGGGAGACTTGAATCAAAGCAAAGCCCAGCACTTCAGCCACTATTTGATGTCCCCCCTTTCCCGCCTCAAATTACTATTTAAAACCTAAGCTTTGGGTCAGCTTTGCTTCCTGCCAGCTTCAGGACACAGGATGTCAAAACCAATGTCTTTCACAAAGCATTGGCTTATTTTGTACTTTTCCAGTCTAAAGGCAGGAACTGGGACTGGACATTGATTCCATTGCTGTAGCGAACTCCCTTTACCTTCTCTGTGACATACAGTCTTAGAGAGATGCCTAGAGTACTGGGAGGCAAAAGAGTCTTGCCGAGGGTCATTGAGCTATCGTGTGTCAAAAATGTGAAAAGCAAAGGGTGGCAGCCTTGGAAACAGGAAACCTCACGCAACTCAAATGGGAAACAAATATTAGAAGAGGAAAAAGAAGGACAACAGTGGCCTTTTCTTCTTAGGTTACCTCTGAAGCACTGGCTTTTTTTTTTTTTTCATTTTATTTGATTTTTCAATTAACCAGCATTTACTTTATCCCTGCCCTGTGGGGGGCCCCCCCCCAGTTTAAAATGTTAAACCAACAAACCTTGTAGTAAATAAGCTTAGTGAAGCACGACAGATTTCTACTTTGGTCATATCCAAAAATGTGTGTCTCATTCTGTACCTTGAGTTCATTCCCTCTCTATTGGGAGGTAGGTGGCATGCTTCCTCGAGAGTCCTCTGAAATCAAGGCAGGACTTGTATCAATCACAGAGTTCCTGCAGGGTCTTTCAGAGTTGTTTGTGATGCAGAATGAGGTGCACAGAATGAGAACAATTTATAAGATTTACGCAGTAAGAACAACATTGTTTTCTTTTTTTTTCCTCTCTATCTGTCTTTCTCTGTCTCTCTCTGTCTTTGTGTGTCTGTATCTCTCTCGTGTCTTTGTGTGTATTTATCTCTCTATCTCTGTATCTCTCTTTCTCTCTGTATCTCTGTCTGTCTGTCTCTCCTTTCTCTGTGTGTGTGTATGCATGTCTCTCTCTCTGCCTGTCTCTGTGTATGTGTCTATCTCTCTGTCTCTGTCTCTCTTTCTCTGTGTCTCTCTGTCTGTCTCTCCTTCTGTCTCTCTCTGTCTCCCTGTCTTTGTGTGTGTGTCCATCTCTCTGTCTCTTTCTCTCTCTCTCTCTTCCTCTGACTCTACCTGTCTGTGTGTCTCTCCTTCTGTCTCTCTCTGTCTTTCTGTCTTTGTGTGTGTGTATCTCTGTCTATGTATCTCTCTCTCTTCCTCTGTCTCTACCTGTCTGCCTGTCTCTCCTCTGTCTCTGTCTCTGTGTCTTTCTCTCTTTCTCTCTCTCTGTTTCTCTCTGTCTCTCTGTATCTCTGTCTCTGCCTGCCTGTCTCTCCTCTGTCTCTGTCTCTGTGTCTTTCTCTCTTTCTCTCTCTCTGTTTCTCTCTGTCTCTCTGTATCTCTGTCTCTGCCTGCCTGCCTCTCCTCTGTCTCTGTCTCTCCTCTTCCTCTGTCTCTGCCTGCCTGCATGCCTCTCCTTTTTCTCTGCCTCTGTCTCTGTATCTCTGTGTCTGTGTCTTTCTCCCTGTCCCTGCCTGCCTGCCTCTCCTCTCTGTCTCTGTCTCTGTGTCTTTCTCCCTGTCTCTCTTCTCTGTCTCTGTGTCTGTGTCTGTATCTTTCTCCCTGTCTCTGCCTGCCTGTCTCTCCTCTCTGTGTCTGTGTCTTTCTCCCTGTCTCTGCCTGCCTGCCTGCGTGTCTCTCCTCTCTGTCTCCGTGTCTGTGTCTGTATCTTTCTCCCTGTCTCTGCCTGCTTGCCTGTCTCTCCTCTCTGTCTCTGTGTCTGTGTCTGTATCTTTCTCCCTGTCTCTGCCTGCCTGCCTGTCTCTCCTCTCTGTCCCTGTCCCTGTGTCTGTGTCTTTCTCCCTGTCTCTGCCTCCCTTGCTCTCTGCCCGCCGCTCTCGGCAGTCACCTTGTTCCTGGAGCTGTGGAAGCGGCGCCAAGCGCGGCTGGAGTACGAATGGGACTTGGTGGACTTTGAGGAAGAGCAGCAGCAGCTGCAGCTGAGACCCGAGTATGAAGCCAAGTGCACTCAGAAGAAAAAGAACCCCGTGACACAGGTAACGGCACAGCTCGTACACAAGGGGGGGTCCCAGCCGTTGAGGCGGCAGGGTGGCTCAGTGGACAAAGGGTCGGGCCTGGGGTCGGGAAGACCCGAGTTCAAATTCGACCTCGGAAACCTACTAGCCGTGTGACCCTGGGCAAGTCACTTAGCCTCTGTTTGCCTCAGTTTCCTCACCTGTAAAATGAGGATAGTAATAGCATCTACCTCCTAGGATTGTTGTGAGACTCAGATGAGCTTAGCACAGTGTCTTACCCCTCATCATCATCATCATCATCATCATCCTTGCCTCCCAGGCAACTCTTTAAGACTTTAAGTTATAAGAGAATGGCCAAACTGTATTAGAACGTTATTGACTGGGAGTTTTCGTAGAGGGAGATCCCGAGGCCGGTGAAACCACAATGAAAAAAATATATCTGGATAAAAATAAGCGAGCACCTTCCACCATTATGGTGTGCATTTAGATTGACGCCTCAATGTAAAAAAATTATCTGGAAGATGACATTTATAATAATCTGGCACTCCTGTGCGGGCATCAGTGAGAGGTTGGCTTGTGAACAAGTAGGTGCCACTGACTAAATCTGTTTCAGAATTTCAGGGCTTACCAGCCTTGGCCAGTCACTAAGTCTGAAGAGTGGCTCCAAAATCATTTTTTTTCTAAAAAGCCAAAGGAAGTTATTGATTCATACTAGATCAGTGCTCGCTGACTCACTTCAGATGGCTTGGGTGGAGTGCCTCTGTTACTTCTTTACTTAAAAAATAAAAAAAAAGCCTATGTCAGATCCTAACCTCTAGAACTGGTAGAAATGCTCAGCATTATCTAGCCCATTCCCCTTATTCTACAGGGGAAGAAACTGAAGCCCAGAAAGATGAATTGAATTGTCCAAGGTTACAAGGGCAGTAAGTGTAGTTGAGGCAGCCAAATCTTCTGGCTCCAACTCCAGCGACCTTTCCACTAGACCGGGCTGGTCCTGAAGGCTGTAAATTAAGGATCATTACTTTTGCCATTATTCTCGGGTTACCAGCCTGGGACACGACATATTTCAGAGGGTACACTCACCTATCATATAGATCTTTAGAGCACCAAGGGATTTGCCTAGATATGAAAATGAGAAAATAAACAAATAATGAATTGTCAAATCCTTTGTACAGAAGTGGCAAGTAATTTGAGGGAAACTCAGTAGCAGGAATGATGCCAATGATGTAACTTGTGTTCTATCAGCTCTGCTAAGGAGCTGTGAGACCAGGCTGATAAGGAAGATAATGGAGCCCCTGGCCCCCTGAAATAGGAAAACGTTTTCTGTTTTGAGTCTGGTTTATTACAGAATCCTGCCTTTCAGCCTCAACTGTAGTGGCAAAAAGCTAAAAGCATGAATAATGCAAATTGTTTCTAGCCACCAGAAAACTTTTATAAAATAATAATAATAATAATAATAATAAACATTCTTATAAGACCCAACAACCTACTTCCTTATATTAATAAGGGAACAGGAATAGAGATTTGGTGTTTCCCTGTTAACACAGTAACAAGGAAGAGAGACAATAAGGAAGTACTGCAGCCCTTCAGGTTAGCAAACTGAATTGAGATTTGGATTTTTTTTTCCCCCTCTTGGTGCTATTTTTGTACAATAAAGTAGCTTCTATGGTGCCACATTATGGTAGTTACTACTTAGTTCTGTTCCTACTGTCCTTTTAAAATGGGTAGCCTTAAGCGTAGTTATTGATATTTTTGGTCTCTCTCTACATTTGTGGTCGAAGACCTAAGTGAAAAGTGTGAAGAAATTTCAAATGTAGAATCATAGAATGATGCACTGGAAATGACCATAGAGACTATCTAGTCCATTGGTCATGGACCTCTTCAGCAGTCTAGAGAAGCTTATAGATGCTCATCAAAATAATATTTTTAAAGGCATAGAATAAATATGTAGGATTACAAAAGAAACTGATTATATTGAAACACATGTATGAAAATATTTTCAAAACCAAGTTTATCAATGCTAGATTAAGAACCACTAATCTAATCCAATCTCCTCATTGTAAAGATAGGCAGAATTGAGGCCCTTGAAGGTTACGACTTGCCCAAGGAGGACTTTGGTCCGATGTTCTTTGCAGCATTATTGTGGGAGAGCGTTTCTGACTCGTCCTCCATTTTAACCACAAATGCTTTGGTGTACATTAAGACAGGCTTGAAATGAGCCTAATTCCCATGGACTTTCTTGTTCCCACAATCTACCTGCTTCACAGCCTTTGATGTCATTTTCATATCTAGTCAAAATACTTAAGTCAATTTAGTGATTTTGGGGGGCACCAAACTAGAAGAGATTGCCATACGTAGGTGAACAAAGCCTGAGTTAAACAATGGCACCTGACTCTTTCCCATTAAGGTATTTAAAGTCATTCGGAAGGCACAAGTAGAAACATGGAATGATAGAGCCAATTAGGTCCCTTTTCAGATTCCTTTTACTGCTCTCATCTTATAGATAAGGAACCTGACACTAGTAGAGAAGAAGTGAGATCCTATAGATAGCAAATGGCAGAGCCAGGATACACAGGATTGGTTTATAATATCCCAGCCTTCAAATGATTCTGTGTATGTGACATTCTCTGTCTCTCAAGCCCAACTGACCAGTGGCAAGACCCAATGAGAAATCAGATGAGACTGAATCCTCCATCCCAAGTTCTCTGTCCTTTCCCTTCCCACCCAGTGAACTAGAGTTCACCAGTAGATGATCTCAATACTAGTTAGTCAGGGCTTTAGGAAAAAACCTGCTTGTTTTTTGCATAGGTGGTTTGGTGATGCTTTCCTTCTGAAAATATTTACCATGACCAATCCCCTGGTGCTTGACCTTAAGTAAGAGAGAGAACATTTTCATTTTCTTTCCTTAGAATACTAATGTCATCCTGAACACATGAAAATCCAGTGGTTTTGATGAGCTTAGTGCCACAGAGTAGAAAAAGCCAACTTACGTAGTTGAGTGAATCAATACTTCTCCGTCATTGCTCTAATGCAAACTTCTTGCAAATGTCTCCATCGACTGCTCTACCAAAGTTCTATTCCCAGCACTGCTAATAGTTGTTGATGCCATGTCTGCCTGTCCAGAGACTATAATTGTTGCACTGTTTTTTATTCTACAGAGGGATCATCCTGATATATCAAGTTAGAGAATTAGCCAGGAGTTAAGTAAGACCTTTTCGTCTACATGCTGAATTAGAGAAGGCTCTGGGTTGAAGTTGAAATTAATAGTACCAGTCCTCTGCCAGTATATAGTGGAAGATAATTAAAGAGATTCTGTAAAATATATACGTATATACACACATATATACATATATATATATATACATATATATATGTATATACATATCCTATAAGCAACTTTGGATTGAGTAATTTTAATGGCTCTCACATTGAACATGGGGTTCAAAGGTTTTATAATTTCTTACGTCTGTTGGTTACAACTCCATGATAAAGAAAAAGGAAAAAAAAAAAACAACCTAGTCACCATTAACCCTGCTAACAATTATTAACAGATAAAGTGGTATGTAGTAAGCCAGGTCTCCAACAGTGACCATTCTATTACCTTGTGAGTAAGAATTGCTATCTTGTGGTTTGGCCACCTTTTCCTACTGGACAACAGATAGGCGAAGGATGATAAGAATCAGCTTGCCAAACACGAACGCTGCGTCCACGATCAGCAAGTAAGGTGTCAGCGTTTCAGAGAGAGAGAGGTCAAGGTACCATCTAAAGAAGCTTGGGGTTTGCGGGGCTTGCCATCTTAGATGTCCAGCTCTGTGTATTCTCTTCCATTTTCTTTTCCCGCTGGGCTGTCACCCCAGCCTTCTTCAAACCATCTAATCTGACATTTTAGGAACTAGAACTTGAAAGAAAGTGGACTTTAGATTTCTATGGGAAACTTTTCCTCTGCTGGATGGCAATCCTTTTTTGGGTAAGATTTAGCTGCTTCCTTTGGCAGCTGGGGATTTGGACTAACCTGACTAACATAGTACATGAAGAGGTCTGGCAGTGGTGATGGTCAGGCCTCGAGATGGTGTGGAAGAATGGGATGCATCCAGACAGATGCAGGTGGAAGAAAGATTCCATACTGCACCTCATGCAAAGCAATGCCAGTCTCAGTGATACACGGAAAAAGTGTTGGATTTGGGGTCAAGGGGCCTGGGTTCACATCTTACCTCTTGCTTAAGGGTAGGACTCTGTTTCCTCATTTGTAAAATAAGGGAATTGGACTAGATTCTCTTTAATAGGCCTTCTAGGCCTTTATTGTGATCCTGTTTCCCTGTGAGCTTTAGAGCATGCTCAGATTAGCCTTAGCACTCCTCCTGGGGTGCCCACGTGTGCCCTGCCAACCTGCAGTTGGCACTGCATGCCCACAGTAGCGAGTAGTTCAGCATGCTGAGCTCAGCCCGTGGTGGTCCTATGACCTCCTGACCCTGGCCTACCCCTGGCATTGACTTTCGATGACTGGTGATGGGCTCGCCCAGGGTGTGCCTGCTCTCCCACAGCTCTCGGGGGCTCTGACGGTTGCTTGGTGTTCAGCCTGTTTGGAGTGTGGATTTTGAATCTTGCTGTGCTCGCTGGCTTGTTACAGGAGCTGGAGCCTTACTTGCCCCTAACTAGTCAGGCGCTGCGGTTCTGTTTCTCGGGAGCTACCGTGTTGTTCTGGGTGAGCATTTCCTTGACTCTTCATCCCTTTAACCACAAATTGTTTGGGGTTTGTCCTGAGGCTTGCTCTCCCTGATGGGATTCCTTGTGGGCTCTGGCGCCCAGTGTTTCCCTGCATGTTTCCTGGTTTTAGCCTCTCATGCAAAGCGCACCAGAATTAGAGTCAGAACTATTATAGGAAAAGACCAGGAGAAAAGGAGATGACTTCTGTTACCTAGTCTTTCTCCCATGTGAGTAGTGAATTTTGTTCTGTCCTCTCCTACCCAGGATAAACAGAGAACATTTTAAACTGAAAAGGCTTATCAATTTCCCACCTAGAGCTACCCATAATTTTTTAGGTTTGTTTTGTTTTTGTTTTGAGAAATAAAGTCTTCTCCCACATCTCCTACCCCAAGGGAAAAACAACCACCCCAAAATCCTGCCTGTCTTTTCCATTTGAGCTCTTGCCGGGATAGCCACAGAAGGGAAGATAAATTGTCACCCACCCATAAAAGAATCATGATTTTTATCAGCATCCTTCCACTGGAAGAACTAATTTCACTGACAGAGGTCACAGTCCTTCTCTGACCTGGAACACAAATCCTTGGGCGTTACTTAAGGCACATAGAGATTTAGTGACTTCCCCAGGACCTCATAGCCAGTGTATGTCAGAGGCTGTTTTTAAATCCAGTTCCACCTTTATAACCAGCATGCTCTCTGTTATGTGATATGGCCTCTACTCCACCTTTTGTCAAAGGATGGAATTAACATAGCCCATAAGAGACAACAGCCTATAAGAACATTTAATCCTTCTGATCATAGCGCCGCTTTCCCTATTCCACCCTCTCCTAATATATTTCCCTTTCCAGCTGGCTTCTAATTTAAGGAAGGGAGGAGGAATAGCCTTTTTGATAGGCACTTTTGTAAATGCAAAGAATATTAAGAGAGAGAGACAGAGTAGTATAATGGATAGAGAAGTAACTTTGGAATCCAAAAGACATGAGTTCAAATCCTGCCTCATCGTACATCCTAGCTTGAGTGCCGCTGGGCAGTCACTTATCTTATTAGTCTTAAAGACCTCGCTAAGGTTGTAATTTGAAGAACTGAAGCCGCTCTGCCCTGGTAGAGGGCATTTCCTCATTGGGAGCTTTCTTCATGGAGGCAATCACGGGCCTAAATGATAACAACAAACAAATCACTACCTAATAACTGGTTCAGTTTGACCTGTCACGGTAAGTCCCTACCCTGTGACCTTTAGCACTGTTTCTTTCAGTTGCTGGCTTTTGTTTCCCATTGGATTGGTAATATGGACTGTTTCCTTCCAAAGCTATTACCAGCCCAAAGGACAAGAGAATGCCATGGTCTGTACCGTAGGACAACAGGACTTTCCCTTGGGAGGATATAAGTCCTACCAGTGTTGTCTGCTTCCCATTTCCAATTCTTATCTGATCAGACCATAGATCCCCTATTTTAGGCCAATTTGGGTAAAACGGTCATACCACGGTTATTTTGATCGTAGGAGCAAAGTCTATCCCTCCCCCCCAAAATTTATTGTTGCATTTTAAGGCACCCTGAACATGCATGATACCTTTCCTAGCAAGAGGCCTCTTTCATGTTACATCACTACAGACAATAACTTCTGGTTGCTTAATAGTGGAGGGAAAGATTAGAAAGTGAGACTTCTATAGCTGTTATTTCCAGAATGGATAGAAGGCCTGGACTCAAGAAATCTTGAGTTCAAGATCTGCACATGACAACAAACTGTCTCTGTGCTCCTGGGGCAGGTCACTTCAGCTCCTACTGTTTCATGCACTGTGTAAGTTACATAAAGGTTGTCAATAGAATTATCCATCTGCAGCTAGCTCAGGAAGGAGCATCCACAATGAGAATTCCCTGCACTGATGAACTCACTGGACTGGCCCAAAAAGGACTCAAACAAACCTGATCTTCCCTAGATCTTAGGGAGACTTGAAAACATTTTCCACTGGAACTTTGCTGGATGCAGTAATACCTGTATACATAATGTTTTCTTCATATTGATGCCCCGTCAGTAGGAGGGGAGATAGGTTTGGTGCTCTTTGCATGTCAGGCTTGCTGAATTGGCTAATTAAAATGAGAAGTGACCGGTGTGTTACACAGGTCTGGGGGGTTCCCGCCCAGGTTGGGTATTTAGCTCCAAGCCTGAGGTCATAAGCTCTCAATACTTGCCCTCCCCATAGATCTCTCTGATCATAGCCAGTATGATAGCAGTGATTGTGTACCGCCTGTCGGTCTACGCGGCATTTGCAAGCTTGATGGAGGATACAGAAACCCTCCAGCCCATCAGCAGCCTGCTCACACCCCAGTTGGCCACATCAGTCACTGCATCCTGTTTGAACTTTGTCATCATCATGATCCTGAATTTCTTGTACGAGAAGATAGCCGTCTGGATCACGGATATGGGTAAGCTGCCACGATCACTGGGGAAAATCCATAAGCGCAACTGTTAGAGGGGGCCCTGCAACGTAGAGTGGAATTAAATGACCTGGATTCAGATCCTGCCTCTGATTCCTAATATCCTGGGCAGCATTGGGCAAATTGCCTTACCTCCCTGAGCCTCATTTTCCTGACCTGTAAAATGAGGGAGTTGTACTAGATGTTCTCTGAGGACCTTTGCAGCTCTAGAGCCATGGTTTGATAAACATCAGACCTTAAAAGCCAAAATGAGTCAGTCAAATGTACTATAACCCAAAATAAGGTGTGGCTTTAGGGTCATTGAAACATTTTTTTTAAAAATCTTAATACCAAGCATTTATCCAAATGAGTAAGTAATTACTAATTACAACTTCAAAGGTGTCATCTTGGGAGGTTATATTGACCAAAATGCCATTGGGGCCCATTGAGGGGATTGCCTTCACAGTCAGTTCACAGGCCACACATAAAAAGAAAACGTGTGTGTGTGTGTGTGTGTGTGTACCAGATTGATCACCTGTTTAATTCATCAAACTTGGATCTCAATTGCTTTAAAAAAAGATTTATGCTCTTTGTTTTATATCAGCAACTTCCCAGTATCCTTCTCCCACTCAATCCATAAGTCATTTCCCTTTTAATAAAGCACAACAGAGAAGCCATTCCACCCAAAGTAGTGGCCATGTGGCCACGTCTGCCGAGAAATTCAACATTCTGCACTATATATATTATATGTATATTTATATATTCTGCCCCCATCTATTTACTATGACTAAGGAAGGAGGAGTCATCAGTCTTCTTAGAATTAACAATGAGCATTGCATTTCATCTTGAGTTCTGATGTCTTCTAATTTATTTTTATTTACATGATCATACCCATTTATAGATTTGTCCTTTTGGTTATGCTTTCTTTCCTCTTCTGTATTTCTCTTGATATCTCCAAGTATGTCAATGTGTGAGATCATCACAATTTTCCACTACAACCAGATGACATGATTTTTCTCCCTAAAAATCCATGGACATTAGACCATAGCCTTAGAGGAACCTTGCAAGGAACTTTAAATATCACTGAGTCCAACCCCTTCATTTTACAGAAAAGGAAACTGAAGCTTAGTGGGAGGTTAAATGACTTTCCCAGGGTCCCATACCTAATAAGCATCAGAGGTGTAATTGGAACACCAGTCTTCCCAAGTCTAAGACCAGCAACTATCCATTTTGCCATTCTGCCTGATTAATACTGATTGGACTCTGATCTTTAAAGTCTTCCAGCTCTGTGTTGTTGTTCATTTGTTCTATTGTTCATTTGAGTCTTGGGAAACTGACATGGGAATTAATGAATCAAACATTAGGAGTCAGAAAGGATTTTAGACTCCATTGAATATCCCGAGCCCTTCATATTACAAAAAGGGAAAATGAGGCAGACCAAAGAGACAACTGACTTAGATCAACTGGATATTAATTTTAAAATGTGAAGACATTCTGAGTTGAGATGGGTATCTGGAGGTAAAGCCCCACACCGGTTTGAGTGGATGGCATGGTGATGATGTCATGATAACATTGGGATGATGTCATGGTATGGTCAGTGACTGAAGGAAATTGGCTTCTAGTACAGTCTAGTTTCAAAAAAGTGGAAAGCTTAAAGGAAAGAAAGAATTCCATTTCAGTACTTCCAACGGATCCCTAATCTCCTCAGTGTGAGTATTCCCTCTAGTAGTATAGATTTCAACCTTTCTGTGTTTCTCATCCTTTGCTATTTTAAGAGATTCCTTTAACTTTAATAAGTTAAAGGTAAAATGTTAGCAGAAACTCTTGATTTTTAATGGAATTTAACTCTCAGTGTGTTCCAAAGTGTCTTTCAGCAAACATTTGGCATACTTAATTGATTGATGGCACCCATATTTACCATTGCAGATTCCTGGCCATTCCAGTTGCCCTCCTCCCTTTCTTTCCCACGTAGGATAATCACAAAGAAGTATCTTCATTGGGCATAAGGCTGAGACCAAATGGAGAAGGGGAAAGAGCACTGGTCTGAATGCCAGGACTTAGAGTCCTGACTCTTCCACTCAAACCATATGTGAGACATTGGACAAATCATTTCACCGTTGTTGACTATCTGGTCAGTGTAAGAGTTGGCCTAAGTGGCCCTTTCCATCTCTCAAACTAAATGTCTTGGATCCAACTTGTGCCCAGGCCCAAGTTTAGTTGTTAAACCCCTCACGTGTGGGGCTGGTTCATCTCTGAACCTATCCAAAGACAATGTTAGCCCAAAGAAGCAGTTCCCTAGTAAACAAGGATTCCACAGAAAGGAGGACAACGGGCGGAAAGGAGACAGAGCCAAGTAAATCTCCTGTAAACCTGTTGCTGTGTTGGCCCATTTCATCTTAGTTTCAGATCAAAAACTGTCTGAAGGTTAAGTAAATCAGATTGTTCCCTCATAAGAACTTTGTGGTTTTGTTTGTCTCTTTAGAAGAAGAGAGGGAGGAGCATGGTACAACATTTAGTGAAGTTCCTTAGAAGGCCTTTGATCCTCAACAGTAGAAGAAACTAGAAGAGGCAAATCTTACTCTCCTAAATAATGGGGGAGGAAGAAAAGGGAAAGGACTTAAGTATTTATTAGGAACCTACTAAGGGCAGGGCACCCTTAAACCCTTTACAAATATTATCTCATTCGATCCTCACAATAGCCCTGGGAATTAGGTGCTAATGTTATCCCCATTTTGTAGTTGAGACAGACAGAGGGTAAGTGACTTCCCCAGTCACCCAATTAATAAGCATCTGAGGCCACCTTTGACCTCGTGTCTTACTGACTTAAGGCCCAGCGCTGTACCTGCTTTTCCACCTAGCTGACTATGGCAGCTCTCATGCCTTCTCCCTTGGCCACTCTGAAAGTCCAGAGCAGTTCCAGCCCTCTTTCCTTTTCCAGGGTCTTATCTCTCAGTGCTAAGTCCAGAATGGCATCCTGTAGTCAGTGTTATCCTTCTTAGCCAAGAGCATGATCCTACTTCTTTGACAAATGAGTCAGAAAGAAACAAAGGTTCTAGGTCACCCCACTTTGGACTGCTGAATTCCAGTCTGGGCTTTGCCACTTTACAAACTCTGTAGCTTTGGGTACGTCACTTCAGCAGTTCTGGGCCTGTTGTCTCATCTCTAAAGTGAGGGGTTTGGGCTGGGTGACCTCGGAAGTCCCTTTCAGCTCTAAATCAGTGACTCGCTGCCTGTACTGCTCCTTCCCTCAGGCCAGCTCCTCCAAGACTCTCTGAGGTTAAGTAGATGATGGCTTATTTATCGCCCACTTGGTGGTGTAGCAACTCCAACCCGATTAAATAGCAAGAGTCCCCAAATTTCAAATCTCTTCTGCTCCATTGTTCTCTCAACAGGAAAGCTTTTGTTTTCTTATTCCAGCTCTCGTGCTCTACCATCCGATAAAAGGGTAATCAGAGCGAATCAACTACTTTAAAAAAAACAACAATAATCAGCCAGTCCATGCGGCTTGTTTAAATGAGATGTACTTAATAAATTCATTTTGTCATCTTCTAATTGAAATGCAGTTAAATTGCACTAAAATCAGGAGGATCGCCACTAGAGCACATTATTGTATATGCCTTTATGTTAATGTGAAGCACTAATTTAGAGTCTGTGAAAAGACACGGACCCCATAGAATTAATTTCTGCAAGAGGGAAGTTAACAGAAGTGTCACCACTACTTCACTGTATCTTTGTGGCCCTCTTGTGGTGAGAAGAGAATCTAACATTTCTTAGCTGTGAGATATTTTCATTGGAAGTGGTTGTTCATTGCACTGGTTTATTTCAGAGCATGAATTTCCATTTTATATACATACTTACATCTGCGTGTATGTATGTATGTATGCATGTAGAGTAAAGGGAAAAACAGAATGATGAGGCACCGTTTGATATTTATGAAATCTAGCAGCCCCTAAAAAGGAGTGAGCATTCAGCAAGCAAGAAGAGGAACACCAAGTCGTGCATACAGCAGGGTTCTTAACCTGGAAATTGTGAAATTGTGCTTTTTAAAATTTTTGATAACTACATATCAATATAATTGGCTTATTTTTTAACCTTGCATATGTTATTTTATGCATTAATAAAAACTCTGCTGAGAAAGAGTCCATGCTCTATCAGCCTGCTAAAGGGACCTATGACACAAAAAGGTTTAAGAACCCAGGGCATAGAAGATCTTGAATCTGGAAGGGACCTTAGTAATCTTAGGATCATAAGTAGAGAGCTAGGAAGTACCTTAGAAACTATCTACTTCTGCTGTCTTTGTAGGAAAGACGAATCCTTTTGGAAAAACTTCTACCCCCTTTTTTTAATGACATCTTATGAATGCCATCTTGTGAAGAGAGAAAGCAGAGAGCTCTGTTGTATGGACTGGATTATTCTATGGATAAACAAATCTGGAGACTCTCAAAAGAGGAAGGTCAAGAGTAGCGATGGTTTTTCTTTCTTCTTTACACTGATAGACTTCTTCTATTGGAAACTGTTTAATAGAAGCTAGAATTTTAGGGGTTTCTCCAGGTTGCTCTTACAAGTTTGGACAGCATTGGCCTTGGTGGATAAGTTTGATGCAAAACTCTTAAGCTATACAACTTTTCCAAGTATGAGGTCACTCATTCATAAACAAAATATTATATTGAGACGAGCCTAATGAAAGGGTTCCATAGAAGGAGAAATCATTTCTTCTTTCCCTTCTTCTCCTCCAAAGAGCTTATATTCTTGAAATCTAAACCAACAGTGTACATGCTAAAAAAAAAAATAAGAAACCAAAGTAACAGATCTCAGCTAATCTAGGCATAAGCCTTATGAGTAAATGCTTTACACTTTACAGAGGAGAGTAAAGACCTAATGTTAGAAGAGCATAGGTGGAGAGTTAGAAGGGACAATCTAATCTGATTTCCTGACTTTATGGATGAGGAAACTTGAGATACATGGAAGTTATCCATGGGGGATCCTTCACAGTGGACTTACTTAAGTCATATAGGTTGCAGGGGTCACAGGCAAGATCTGAATCTGGGTCCTTTGACTCCGGAAGCAATATTCATCATTGTACCATGCAGGTTGGTTATATCTTAGGTATAGCCATGCATCCAATTACCCAGGTGAGTAATGATTCTCAAGGAGAGACAATGCAATCTTCAGCATTAACATTCTATGTTTTTGACCCTTCAGAAATTCCTCGAACCCACCTGGAGTATGAGAACAGGCTCACGATGAAAATGTTCCTGTTTCAATTTGTCAACTATTACTCGTCATGTTTTTATGTGGCATTCTTTAAAGGGAAGTTTGTGGGCTACCCAGGAGCCTACACATACATGTTCAACAAATGGAGGAATGAAGAGGTAGGACTGCTCTTCAGGGAAAGGTCCCCTTTGGTCCTTTTTGTTTTAGTATTTTACTGAGTTATTGTTGTTTGTCCTTCATTCTCGAAGAGGACCATGATATCAGGAAGGTGATGTCATACTGAGTGCCTAATATGGGGTCAGCACTGTGGTAGACTCCTTGCCCTCTGAGAGTTTACATAACTCCTGTCTCCTTAAGTTTTCCTAGGAGTACTTTTTCTGGGTCCCCACTTTGTCTTTTTCCATGCATGATGTAGTTTTCTCGGTACAGCATAAGTTCTTTGAAGCTCGGGGTTATGCCATTTTTTAAATGTCCCCAGCACAATGTCTTAGACACAATAGGTGTTTAATAAATCTTTGTTGAATTATAATGACCAATCATGTCTTAGAAGACATTGACAGACTTCCCCCATCCCTCCCTAGCCCTTCCAATGGCAAGTTGTATTGTTCATGGTTGGTTGGTGTTCAAATAATTTGGTTGGGGCTTTTGTTTCGTTTTTGCTTTTGAGGGGAAAGATTAGAAAGCCTGTCCCTCTCATTGTTCCTTTGTCCCTTCTCTCTTTTGCTCCTGTCCAGTGTGATCCAGCAGGCTGCCTCATCGAACTGACAACACAGCTCACCATCATCATGGCTGGAAAGCAGATCTGGGGCAACATCCAGGAAGCCATTCTACCGTATGTATTACTTCGGAATTCCCCATCTAATAGTAACCATATGACATTTACAGAGAGCTTTAAGGTCGTAAAGAGAGCTCCTTGATTCATTTAGAGGGCCAAAACATGGAGGTTCCCTTGAGGATGATAAGCAGCCTTGCTTCTACAACAGAGATTTGAACCAGTGAAAACCTTGTCTGTAAACCAAATAGTCCCTGATGCAGTATGGTAACACAGAGTTGGCCAGGTATACCACTGTTAGCCTGACTGATGTGGGAGGAAGGAAAACTTCATTGCCTCTTATTAGGAGAGCCCACTGACCAAGAGAAATGCTGCTGATCTCTGCTATATGAGGGCAGCTTGGATTGGAAAACCATTGACTCCGGTGTCTTTGCAAAGACATCTATCTTTTTTAGCTGGGAAGTGTAGCAGAAGTGATATGAAGGGGGGAAGAGCCAGTGGTGAAGATGAGAAAAGAGGAAATCCTTTTTGGGTTATAATGTTGATAGCTGATGTTGATATTGGTAAAGTGGGTTATACCAAGAGCTTGGAGGTGGAAGATGGGAGCTTGAATCCCACCTGTGCCACCGAGTAGTTATGTGACTCTGGGAAAAGTTTATTTATCTCTCGGAGTCTCAGATTTCCCCCTCTATAAAATTAGAATAATAATATCTACCTCCTAGAGCTGTTGTGCCATAATGAAGGCAAACTCTAAAGCAATATAGAGATAGATATAAAACATATAAATAATATATATAAACATCATATATATGTATATACATATAATTATTTAAAAATCCATAATCTCTTCTCATCTAGCACATTCCTTTCTCTTGTTACTGTTTAGTCATTTCATTTGTGTCCAACTCTTTGTGACCTGACTTGAAGTTTTCTTGGCAAAGATACTGGAGTGGTTTGCCATTTCCTTCTCCAGCTCATTTTACAGATGAGGAAACAGAGGCAAACAGGGTTAAGTAACTTGCCCAGGGTCATATGGCTAGTAAGTGTCTGAGGCCAGATTTGAACTCAGGAAAATGAGTCTTCTTGACTCTACTCTATTTACTGCTTACCTAGCTACCCTTTCTTTTGGGCCCATCCCAATGCAAGGAGCCTCAGCACATAAATCGAAGGTGGGAGGATAATAAAGCAAAGGGACTTGGGCTTTGAAGGCCTTTGCTATACCTGAAAGGTAATGCCCACTATAAGTGAAGTACTCCATGGAAGGGGTAACCCACAACCTGCTGAGGAAACCTATTCCACTTTTAGATAGCTCTAGTTATTAGAAAGATTTTCCTATCATCAAGTCTAAATTTCCCTCTTTTTAACTTCTACCCTTTGCTCCTGGTTTTGCCTTTTTTATCCAAATAAAATAAGTTTAGTCTCTTTTTCACGTGGCAGCCTCTAAAAATAGGACTAGAATGCATCCATCATGTCCCATTTGGTCCTTTGGCACATCAATCTTTCTTCATTTGAAAAGGTCTCGGGGAAGCTAGGTAGTGTAGTGGATAGAGCACTGGCCCTGGAGTCAGGAGGACCTGAGTTCAAATCCAATCTCAGACACTTACCAGCTGTATAACTCTGGGTAAGTCACTTAATCCCAATTGTCCCCCCCCCCTCAAAAAAAATAGAAAGAAAGAAATGGACTCAAAGCCTTCCACCAATCTGGTTGCCTTTCTCTGGATGTTTTTTTAGTCTCCATTCTAAATGGTGGCACCCAAAAAAGAATATCCCAAATTCATCTTAAACCAGGCCACGGTGCCACAGGACCTCTTCATTTCTGCGAGCTATGACTCTCAATATAGTCTTAAGATTGGATTAATCGGTTTTGGCTGCTACCTCAGACTGTTGATTCATACTGAGCTTGCAGTACATTAAAACTCCAAAAAATTTTTCATGCAAAGAGCCATCTAACCATTCATCTCCATTTATACTTGGAAAATGGATTTTTTAGAATACAAGTATGATCTTATGGTTATCACTAATGAATTTCAACCTGTTTGATTCAACCTAGTGCTATGGACTGTCAGGATATTTTTGGATTTTGACTATGTCATCCAGTACATTAACTATCCTCCCAGATGTGTATCCCCTTGGAAATTTGCTAAGTATGGCATCCATTCCTTTATCCAAGTCAGAGATCAAAACATTAAACAACTCATAACCAGCTACGGTCCCTGAGTCGCTCCACTGGAGATCTGCTGCCAAGGTGACATAGTGGGAGATAGAAAAGAACTGAGTTCTATCCCTAATTCTTCTGCTGACTACTACTACTAGTAGTAACTGATTCTTCTGTAGAAATGTGAAGTTTGAAAAGTGCTTTAGCTGCATGATGTCATTTGAACCTCACAACAACCCTTTGAGGTGGGCCACTATGCAAGTTATTGTCTTCATTTTACTAATGAGGAAACTGGTGCTCAGAAAGATTGGGAATCAGTCACCCATGCTCACACAACTAGTAAGTGTCAGAGGTAGGATAAGAACCCAGGTATTCTTAACTCCATATAAAGCGTTCTGTCTGTTACATGAAATTGATCATGGTGGAGCAAGTTAGTTATATTCCTGGACTTCAGTTTCCCCAAGGGGCTATTAGACTGGATGATACACACTGTCCCTTCAAGCTCCAACATTCAATTACTACTTCCACGTCTTGTTTTATTTCAACCCATCCTTTCCCTCTCCTCACAGCTGGGTTTGGAACTGGTGGAGACGCCGGAGAGCGAGAACCAACTCCGAGAAACTGTACAGCCGATGGGAACAAGATCACGCTCTTCAGTGTTTTGGGGCCCTGGGGCTGTTCTACGAGTACTTAGAAATGGGTAAGCTCTCTTCAGTTGCCTTCTTTTCTTCTTTCTTTTTTTTTTTTTTTTTTCCTGGCTAGGCAGTGGGGTTAAGTGACTTGCCCTGGGTCACACAGCTAGTGAGTGTTATGTGCCTGAGGCCAGATTTGAACTCAAGTCCTCCTGACTTTAGAGCTGGTGCTCCTCGAAGTCAGCCACCTAGCTGCCCCCTCTTTAGCTGCCCCCTCTTTAGCTGCCTTCTTGAACCTATTCATCAGAGAGAAGGTAGCAATTACTAATGGATAACAGTTGTGGTTAGTCAATCAATAAATGTTTTTTAAGAACCTGCTGTTATGCTGAGCACTCTGCTAAGCATTGGATTTGTCACTGACTTGTAGCATGGCATAGGTTAAAGAATGAAGTCTAATATAGAAACAGCAGCCAAAAAAAAAATTAAAAACCATTAATCCCTAAATTGGAAAGTAATAGGAAGCTCTGTGCCACCATACTTAGTCACCCCTGTATGAGCTGTGTTGAATTTGTTGGCTCTCAGAGCCTACCAGCAGAGGGAGCCAAAGAGGATAGTCAGTTACAGAATATACCACTTTTTAGTATATTATCAGCCAACTAGCATATTTATGAATCAACTGACATTTGCTAAGAGCCTGCTATGTGCCAAGAATTATGCCAAATGCTGAGGAAACAAAGAGAGAAAAAAGCAGTCCTTATTCTCAAGGATCTTATGGTCTAGTGGAGAAACTATATGTAACAACTATGTAAAAATGGAATCTGTATAGGATAAATCAGAGATACTCACACAGGAAAGGAAGTGATTTTTTATTCCTAAAGTGAATTGGTTGTACTAGCAGTTCTCCCACTTATACAAGTCACTTTCTGCAACCCTGCCTCAGTTTCCACACATTTGAAATAAGGAGGTTCAACTTGATGGTCCCTTCCCACTCTGACTTTCTCTGTGAACTATACCATTCAGTGAGTCAATAAACATTAAACACTTATTTGTGCCAAGTGCTGTGCTCAGTGATATTGTTTGTCCTTTGTTCTAAAAAACGACCATGACATCAGGAAGGTGATGCCTTGACATACAAGTGAATTGCATTTAAGTCACCAGCCTCACTTTCTCCTCTGGAGCCATCTGGGTTCAGTGGCAAGATGTAGATCTGGACATGGCCCTCTAGTGCTGGAGATACGAAGAAAGGCAAAAGACAGTTCCTGCTCTCAAGGAGCTTATAATCTGTTGGGGAAGACAACATGCATACAACGATGTACAAACTTTCTATGTGACAAATAGGAAATGGCCAACCAACTGAGAAAAGGCATTAGAATTAAGAGGGATTGGGAAAGGCTTCCTATAGCAGGTAGGATTTTAGCTGGGATTTGAAGGAAACCGGGAAGCCAGGAGGCAGTGCCTGAAGAGGAAGAGCATTCCAGATATGGGAGATAGCTAGTGAAAATGCCTGGAGCCAGGAGATGGAATGCCTTATTTGAAGAGCAGCAAGGAGGCCAGGGTCACTGGAGTTGTTGGAGTTGGTATTCAGTGTCCAAAAAAAAAAAAAATGGAAAGGGTTGGGGGGAGCTAAGTTATAAATGGCTTTGAAGACAAAACAGGATTTTAAATATTTGATCCTGGAGGTGTTAGGGATCCACTGGAGTTTACTGAGGATGGGGATGACGTGGTTGTACCTGGTGCTCTGCGAAAATAAATTTGACAGCTAAATGAAGGATAGACTGGAGTAGGGAGATGCTGGTGACAGGCAGACCAACCAATAAGCTATTGCAATAACCCAGGTGTGGGAAGATGAGTGTCTGTTACCAGAGTGGTGAAAGTACCGGAGGAGAGAAGGGGGTGTATGTGAGATATCACAAAGGTAAAACTGACAAGCCTTGGCAACAATTTGGATATGGGGGGTGGGTGAAGAGAGAGTGAAGAGTCAAGGATGACATCTAGGTTACGAGCCTGGGGAATTGGGAGGATGTGGTGCCCTCAATAGTAATAGGGAAGTTTGGAAGAGGGTGGGTAAAGTTTGGGGGGAAATACTGAATTCAATTTTGGACGTGGTGAGTTTAAGGTGCCTACAGGACATCTGATTCAAGATGTCTAATGGGCAGTTGGAGATTTGGGACTAGAGGTTAGCAAAGAGGTTAGGGATAGATAAGTAGATTATGGAGATAAGCATAGAGATGATAATTAAATTCATGGGAGCTAATGAGATGACTAAGTGAAGTAGTACAGAGACAGAAGAGAAAAGTGTTCAAAACAGAGTCCTATGGGACACCCATGGTTAGTAGGTATGATGCAGATGAAGATCAAGCAATGGAGACTGAGAAGTCAGATAGATAGGACAAGAACCATGGGACAGATGCGTCATGAGAACCTACAGAGAGGAGAGTATCAAGAAAAAGGGAGCTTGCCAGTGTCTAAGGTTACCAAGTGGTCAAGAAGGATAAGGTTTGAGAAGAGGCAATTAGGAGATTATAATTAACTTTGGAGAGAGCAGTTTCCCTTGAATGATGAGGCTGGAAGCCAGACCGTGGAGGTGAGAAGAGGAAGTGAGGAACCTAATGTAGGTGGTCTCCTCCAGGGATTTAGCTACAGAAGGCAGAAGAAATCTGGCATGTTAGCTGGGATGGCTGGATCAAGGGAACGGTTAGGGGAGACATGGACATGTTTGTAGGGAGTAGGGAAGTAACCAGTGATTAGATAGTAATTCTTGCCAAGGGATTTGCAGCAAGCTGTTGTTACTTAAAGACTCTGGGCATCAACCTAGTAGTGGCTTTCCAGTGTCCACTCCAATGCAGCTCAGGCCAATAGAATGTAAGAATTTGAGACGATAAACTCTGAAAGAGCAGGGAGTACTCTGTCTTTGCATCTTTACTTACCAAGCGTTTGTGGACTGAAGTTGGTGCATCTGATTCTTCTTTCTCTCCAGTTATCCAGTTTGGCTTCATCACACTGTTTGTGGCGTCCTTTCCTTTGGCTCCCCTTCTCGCCCTTATGAACAACATTTTGGAAATCCGAGTTGACTCTTGGAAACTGACTACCCAGTACAGGAGACCTGTGGCTGCCAAGGCCCACAGCATAGGAGTGTGGCAAGAAATTCTCAATGGCATGGCTGTTCTGTCTGTTGTTACTAATGTAAGTTGACTGTTCTCAACTAAGTGACTGATTTTCTGGGTGGGAAGTTTGTTTCCTGAGAATATCACTTTAGAAAATCAACTCTGTGCATTTGATTCTTGCCTCTGGATCTGCTGAGAGCAATGTCTCATCCTAGAAGATCCATGGGCCTAGATTCCAGCGTGCTCTAGGAGAAGAGCTGTGGTATCTGGAACCCCTGTCACTGAATCAGTTAAACTTTTGTCTCTTTCAGAGTGCAAAAGAAGGAGTGATGAAGTTGTAGTTACAGGTTTAGACTCCACTTAAGGCAAAATTGAACAGTGAGAGCTGTTCAAGAATAGAATGGGTGGCTCTTTTGCTGTTTTGCATCTGGGGCATTTAACTCCAAGTTAACCCCAACTATCCAAGCTCTGCAGTACAACTTCCTTCCTTGCAACAGCCCTGCCTCATATTGTGGGACTGTGTTGGGGTGTGTGGGGTGGAGGAGATGAATTCAAACTTCTCGACTCAATCAGTGTCTTATTTTTGTCCTCGTTTTACAGATGAGGATACTGAGGCTGATAAATGTTAAGGGACTTTCCCAGATTCAAGCAGCCAATGAGAATGTCTTTGAGCTGAGGTCCTGTTGACCCTAGGTCCGGCACTCTTTCCACTGTCCCATCTATCTGCTTCCTTCCTAAGCGTGATGAAATGTGGAATGAGTGTTCCCGTGTTCCCACTCTTCCATGTGGCCTTGCCCAACCATTGGGGGAATAGATCCACTACAATATGGCATCCAACCTATCCTTGTGAAACATACACCACCTCCACCTCTAACTAACACGGGTGATCGGTAGAGAGGTCCGAACCTAATCCCAGTAGGCCCTTTCATAACACTGGTGTCAAGGGATAAAGGTTTTACAGTAAGGAAGGTTGACTTCTCAGAACAATATAAACAAGGGATGTCATTTGACATGAAACACATCGTGTCCTGGGCCCTAACTAAGGTATGACTCTCAAATAGCTATGGCTGTGAGGTATTCTCTGACCACATTTTTCCTGTGTTTGGAAAGGTATCTATATGACTGATGAGATCAAAAGCTTACAACAGTACTTTGACTCCTCATTTGTTTTTTCTCACTGGTTTCAGGCCTTCATTGTTGCCTTCACATCGGACATGATTCCCCGGCTAGTTTACTACTATGCCTACTCAACTGACCAAAATTCCCCCATGTCTGGATACATTAACAACAGTCTTTCCGTGTTCCTGATCTCTGATTTTCCAAAAGAACCTGGGGCGAGCCTGGGTGCATTCACCACTTGCAGGTATCTGGTTTATTCATCCTACTTGTTAGGAGACTCTCCTAACATCGCTATCCCAGACCAGTTTAGGAAATCTAAGTGGCCATAGGGTAGGGTAGAAAGAGACTTTGACTGGGAGTCCAAAAGTAGGGGTTCTAATTTTGGCTCTGCAACCACTAAATAGATGTATACCTGGAATAATCATAGACCCTCTGACGCTCAGAATGTTCCTCTATCAGATGGCAAGGTTGGACAAAATGAGGGCCAAAATCTCATCTTACCTCTGCCTGGGATTCTTCTGAAGGTCAAGAATCATGAGAAAAGGAAGCTCACTAATAATAATGAAGATGCCATGTATGATAATGGCAATGCTGATTTTTATTTTTTGATCTGGATCTGTGATTTAATCTACATGAGACAGTTTCTGGTGTGGCATTCCAGGATGGGTACAGAAATTCCCGACAGTGAAGCAGATTTGCTCCTATTCTTAGAGAGTTGACTGAGACAGTGAGAAATTAAGAGATTGTCAGAGGCAGGACGTAGCTAGTGCTTTATCCGCTATACCACATAAAATAGTAACTGGTATTGGTCCAGTGCTTTAAGATTGCAAAGCACCTTCTATATATTATCTCATTTGGGCTACACAGTAAACCTATGAGGTGAGAAATAGAGGTATTATCATCTTCAGCCAAGGGCAGCTTAATGGTTTAGTGGATAGAGTGCTGGGCTAGGAATCAGGAGTACTCATCTTTCTGAGTTCAAATCTGTCCTCAGACTCTTCCGAGCTCTGTGACCCTGGGCAAATCTCTTAACCTTGTTTGCCTCGATTTCCTCATCTGTAAAATGATCTGGAGAAGAAAATGGCAAACCCCTCCAGTATCTTTGTCAAGAAAACACACACTGAGGTCACGGTGGATTGGACATGACTGGAAAATGACTGAACCACAACAACAAAATCATTCTCATCTAAGATGGGGCAACTGAGAGAAATAAGAATTTATTAAGCACCTACTACATACTGGGCACTATACTAAGTATTTTATAATATGGTTAAGCATTGTGATACAGTGACAGTGTCACTGTATTTGGACTCCAAGGACAAGACTTCAAGACCCGCCTTTGCTACTTGCTTGACCTTGGGCGAGTCACTATATCACTTGGGACTTAAAAAGTTTCCTAATTTGCAAAATGAGAGAATTAGATGAGATGGCTTCTGAGATCCTTTCCAACTCTAAATCTATGATCCTATGAATTCCTACAGATGTTCCCATATGCATACATACCATCTGCCACTTCCTGACAAATGGGAAGACCTGCAACGCATGACCATGTTTTTTTCCCCAATACAGGTATAGAGATTACCGCTATCCCCCTGACCATGAAAAGAAGTATTTACACACTATGCAGTTCTGGCACATCCTTGCTGCCAAGATGGCCTTCATCATTATTATGGAGGTAAGTCTTCCTTTTTACCTACCCCGTCCTTTACTTGCCTTCTCTTATAATCACGTTGCTATTCAGTCTTCTGCTGCTGCTTATGAGATAACTGGCATTTCCCTATATGTTTCTGAAACAGGAATTGTCCTGAAGAAAGCAATTGCTATAAAAAAAGTTAGCTAGGAATTCTCTAATTCAACAAGAATTTACTAATCCTCTGCATGGCACTCATTGTTGTTATGCAAGATACAGAAGTGGAACACCTAGTTTTTGCCTCAGAAAAACATGATAATTATCCTGAAGTATTTGAAGAGTTATTATGGGGAAGAGGGGTAAACTTGTTCTAATTGGCCTCCAAGGACAGGATGAGGAGCATTGGATAGAAGTAGTAGAGACGTAGATTGAGTCTAGTTGTGAATTCTTTTAATAGCAGAACTATCCACAAATGGAATGAGTTGTCTTGGGAGATAATGGGTTCACCATCACTAGAAGTCTTCCTGTGGAAACAGAAAAACCGCTAGTTGGAAATGTTGTAGAGGGAATTCTTAATCAAGTGCAGGCTGGACTAAATGACCTCTGAGGTACCTCCAGCTGGTTTTGTGGAGTAGACAAGGAAGGCTTCATGATGAATGTGGGTCTTAGCTAGGCTTTGAAGGATAAGTAGGATTTAAATAGGAGACATAGGAAGGAAAGATGGAAAATGACATGAGGGCCCTCAAACTGGATTTTATCCGAAGGAGAACAGCCAGGATGGGGAGGGGTATAGAAATCATATCTTAGTTGGAATGACTAAAGGAATGGGGTGGAGTGAGGTAAAGCCTGGAGAAAGGCTCAGGGGAGGGATAGACTGTCAAAGAATTATGCAGAATTGGAGGAGAGCTCAGGGGTCACTGAACAAAAACTCAAACTAATATGTCCTCATATTGTTCTTTCATAAACTATCGTAGAGACTACATCTAGTGCAGTCTCTTATTTAATGTAGCAGTCTTCTCTGTGCAGTGTTGCTGACATGTAGTCATCCAGCCTTTCTCACTACCTCGTAAGGCAGTCCCTTCTCATTTTGAAGCAGCCATTCTTGTTGGGACTGTCTTCCTTATATTATGTTATGGGTGGAAATTACAGGCAAGCCAACTTTGTCCCAGTACGAGGAAGATACCGACTAAGTTACCTCCGTACCCTACTGAGGCACTGTAGTAGGACTTAAGTCTTCACTGAAGGAGGGTGTTTTCCTTCTTTCAGCAAAAACCATAAGTTGGTAGAATTTTCAGTTGGCCTTGGAAATCTGGGGCCTTTGAGTCAATGCGGCTCTGCTCCCTTGGCATTCCTTGTGCCTACCCCAGATGGGCTACGCCCATAGCCCACTACATTCCTGAATGCTTCCTGAACCAGACTGAAATGTAATTGAGAGATATTTAACAAAATCAATAAAATAAAACATAGATAATATTATATTTTAAAGCTAAGTCCATGTGAGGCCTGCAGGGGTTCTAATGTATAGATTACTGGCCCCTGTTTCTATTTGAGTTTGACACCACCGGCCTGTTCCAACCTTAGGCTGCCCTGAGCAAAAGCGAGAAGGGGCAAAATTCCTCACTAATCAGTTTTCCATCCTCCCCAAATGGGTTAATTAGACATAATTTTCCATATTGTATTTTACAGATAATGTATTAGACCCAGCCAGAAAATAGTGTGCCTTAAATCAGTTAATGGTAGCCAGTGTGATAGCATTCTGCCTAGGCTGTCTGGCCCTATTCCTATTCTCGCCAACAGCCAGATCATTGTATGCTGCCTTTCTATTTTCTATTCCCCCTTCTACCTATTGTACCTCTCTTTTGCTGTCTCCCCTCCCTCCCCCATCTCTTTTTTTTTTCTTTTTGGTGAAGCAAGCGGGGTTAAGTGACTTGCCCAGGGTCACATAGCTAGTGAGTGTCATGTGTCTGAGGCCAGATTTGAACTCAGGTCCTCCTGACTCTAGGGCCGATGCTCTATCCACTGCACCATCTAGCTGCCCCTACCCTGTCTCT